TGAATGGAAAAATTCTACATTCATGAAATAAGTTATTTTTGTTGTTACATCTCACACTTACTCCTACAAGGGTGGCTGGCTAGCTAACATCATCATCATCATCATCATCATCATCATCATCAATAATAATAAAAGAATTAACATATTTTTTTTTAAAAAATTGAAACACGGTGGCAAATTATAAAAGTTCAATTCTTAAATGCCAATGCAATCATGTACCCAATGCCTGGCAAAATATAGGCATTCTTCATTTATGCCATAATGTTATGTACATGGGGAACAACCAGATTTCTCTAAGGAGGGAGGTTCCACATATGGGGGGGGGGCTGCCACCAAGAAGGCCCAGCCCTGTGCCTCAGCCCCACATGCCATGTCCTTCGACTGCACCAAAAAAGTTTTCTAGTTGTCAAGAAACCTTCCCAAATGGTGGAAGATGTGGCACAGGATATTGCAAATTGAGCCTGCCCTTTGTATGAGTGGAAGGTACTTCCTCTCATGCAAGAAGACTTTTATATCCAAGGCATCACTGTCCAAATCCAGATCAGAAAAGGGAAAAGATTTCGTGACCTCCCATTTTTTTTGAAGAGAATTACCAGGAAGCGGTTTTAAAACTTTAAAAAGCAGAAGAGGCCACTAGGACATCACTCTTATTTCTACCTTGACACTTTTAGAGCTTTGTGGGGGCAGAGGCGAAATATTAAAGTACTTACTGTATAAGACTGACAGAAAAACTCCACAAACAAACTTCCACAGAGGCTTTAAAAGCTGTTTACTGGGGCAGGGGCATACAAAGAATCTTCAGGGTGGAATATAAAGTTTCTTTACTGACTTAACAGGAGTTTTCCCAGCAGTCTGCATTTTCAGAGAAGAGCTTTAGCAGATGAAGTACCATTAGAAGTTTAGGAGCAGATGCTATCCTCTCAAGAGGAAACATGCAGAGGTTACTCAGAGATGAAGGAGAAGAGGGTTAGCTGAAAAACACGCATACTCATAGCTGTAAAACGTTCTTTACTATTTATTGAGCTCAACAGTATGTGAAGAAGCAATTTCAACTGCTCTCTTGGTAGTAACAAAGTTTGGGGCTCAAGTGTGCTTCTAATCATATAGCTGAGGAAGGAGCGCTGTCGTTTTTCAGCATACTATCCTTATAAAGACTGACAATCCTAGTCATCATAAAACCCAGAGGATTTGTCTTAATCAGGATGGAATTTGGCATGGAGATCTTCCTGGAAAGAGGCGTAATCTGAAAGCTCCCAAATGAATAAGTTAAATAGCACCAATGTGGATGTCCCTGTAGTTGTGAACATTAGTTCTGCCTGCCCAAAACTTGCCTTCTGAAAAATGCAAGATTATTGCAGATTCCTTTCTTTCTTTCCTTCCCCATTTTAATGAACCATTCAACAAATAGCAAGCTATTCTGCACACGACTGGAAGCTTACTAATGGGAGCATATTTCCTAAAAGAAAAATGGTAGATGAAACAGGCTGAAAGCAGTAAAAGCTAGAAAGTGGGCACAGTTCTTTCCACCATTCTCTGAGAATCTGACTCTCTCCCCTGTTGTGTGTGCACCTTTTCGAACTTGTAGGTCTCTCGTTACATACTGCTTTTGTAAGTAAGTGTGTGTTTTTTTGTGTTTTTTATTGAAACATTTTCATGGATAGCAAAGGCACACTCTGTTTTCAGTTCATAAAGTCCTTTCTACAGGTCAGTTTTGAAATGGTTTTTATAATCCTAACATTTCAAACTGAAATGCTCCTTTAGAATGAAGTGTTTGTAGTAGTCCGCACTCAATGCCTATTGCTTAATTTCTCAGAGTCTCCTCAAATCAGTTTCCCTTGCACTACCACAAGCTCCTGTTGGCTATTTGCAGTATGGTAGCGCTGCAGAGAGCTTGCTGGGGAGACCATGCATTAAAAAGGGACTCAAAAATAACTTAAACAAGGTTTTAATAACAAAAACAAAAACTCCTTATACACTAAATACATCAACAGCAAACCAGACCCAACCACCAACCCATCCCCCAGGGTAATGGGAGAGCTAGGTGCTGCTCCTTATATACTACACCCAATTGCCAACACAGCTTAATCAATACAACTCAGCAGCACCTGCTATGTTTCACAGCTGTAAAGCTGGGTCTCGTTATCTTGCTCTGGCCCTTGCTCTGGCCCCTTAAAGACATACACATCGGGTGGAACAATGATGAACCTTTACATTTAAAAAAACCATTCAACAGCTCCAACAGACACCATTGAGCCTGTACCACCCCAAGGACTTTGTGCACATTTAATAGGCAACTCTGCAAAACAGGTGCATAACAACTTGGCTGTGAGCCCATGGGCCCTGACTGACTTCAGCTACAAATAGAGTTGTTTTCAACAGCCCACTGAAGAAGGACCTAAACCGATGAATTAATGTAGAGAAGCAAGTTGCTTTTGAGATGTCACTTCTGGCCTCATTTTCATTTAGCAGAAACTCAGAGCAGCAAATATGGTACAGCACTGAGGCAGAACACCAGGAATTATGAGTTTGAGCACAGACTCATATACTCGTGGACAAAATTGTGTTCGGTGTGACTGATTAATAAAACTTAATTGCTAAGGGAATCTGAACCGAGATTATAAAATGCAATTGCTTTTTGAAGCACTTCTAAGGTTGCACAAATTGAGCTCATGGCTGGGTTACTGGATGCAGGCCCCAAAACAGCAGAGGCTGTTCAGCAGCCTCAGCTTTTATATAGTCTCTAAGCTGCCCAGAGTGGTTAGGGAAACCCAGCCAGATGGGCAGAATATAAATAATAAAATTATTATTTTTATTATTAACTAGGGTTGCTTTCTCTGCTGCGTAGCATCAAAATGGGACAATGTTGTCTTCATGCCACCCCGTTTCTAATCTTTAGGCCTTTATACAAATGAAGGGGATGAATGGTATTTGTTTTCCCTGGTTTTCAGCAAGATTGTTGCTTCAAGATGGCAGTACGGATACTTCACAATCCTCTGCAACGGTTTCACCTGTTAAGCCTTCTGAATTTAGAGAGGAGGAACAGAACACAGATATTCCCAGGGCCTTAGGAATCTTGTACTCTTCAGCTAAGAGTATTCAAAGTTTGCAGGAATGGTGAGAGAAGAAAGCTTCTCTGATCTGGGCAAGGCAGGGAAGGAACTAGGGTGGAGCTTGCACTACTGGCCAGTCTTCAAATCTAGGTCACAGGATCCTACCTTTCCTCGGTAGCAGGTGGACAAAACCCATGTCTGGATCCCTCCCTCCTACTGAGCTGAGAAAGTGTTGTTGTTGCCGTTTAGTCGTGTCCGACTCTTTGTGACCCCATGGAGCAGAGCACGCCAGGCACTCCTGTCTTCCATTGCCTCCCGCAGTTTGGTCAAACTCATGCTGGTAGCTTCGAGAAAGTAGTGAACTGTAAATTCTGGTAACATAGCTTACTTGGATCCATTTCAAATCAGGTTTCTAGTTTGGCATAGAACTAAAATGGCTTTGGTCATCCTGGTAAAGTATTTATCCTAGAGAAATGATGGGAGATTACTATTCCATCCCATAGCCTTTGGGGTGTCTCAGGATGCCATCTTGTGTCACATGCTATTTAGCATTTATGTAAAAACCATTGCGAGAAGGTCCTTTTGGACTAAAGTGTCACCGGCATGTCATTCTTTTTCATATTTTTAATTCCAGCTCCAAACAGGTGTTTGGAATCACTTTGCGATTGGATGAGGCAAACAAGTTGAAACCTAATCTAGATAATCTACTGTGGGTAGCAAACTCTGCAAATCTGATTGTCAATGTAAGTGGTTGTGGATGGGGTTGTACTCCCCATGAAATACCAAATTTACAGCCTGGGAGGTCTCCTAGACACAGCACTGTCGATGGAAGCACACATGATCTCAGTGGCTACAAGTGCCTTGAAATGGGTTAGCTTGATTCACCAGCTGTGACCCTTTCTAAAGAGAAGTAATCTTACCAGTGCTGTACATGCCCCAATTACAGCTTGGTTACACCCACCAGGGGCTGTTGCCCCTGCTCATCTACCCTGTACTCATAAAAACAAAAGCCCTTCTAGCCCAGCATTCTGCCCCTCTCTCTTTATACCTCACTCAAAGCCCCAACCCCCACTAGTCCTTCAAGGATCCCCCCCATACCCCAACTCCTTCACAGCTCCTCTCTGTTCTTCCATCCTTGCTTTATTCAAACCTCTGTTTAAACAGGCTTCCTCAACCTAGGCCCTCCAGATTTTTTTTTGCCTACAACTCCCATGATCCTTAGCTAGCAGGACCAGTGGTCAGGGATGATGGGAACTGTAGTCTCAAAACACCTGGAGGGCCAAGGTTGAAGAAGCCTGGTTTAAAATGTGCCTTCCTTTGCTCCCCTCCCTAATGGGCTAACTTTATGCAAACCTGGGATTGTGGCGAGGCCACAAAATCGTCCAGTGGTGGCTACACTCTGATATCATGGCTGTGTGATGACCTCACATTTTTATGTAATGTAGGAAGATATAGATACATGATTTGAAAATATTCTGAACGACAGAAGTAACATTACTGATGCTTACACACAGGTTCTACTGTGAAAGACATGATTTAACGGAAGCAGGGGGAACACTAAGGACATATCACTAGTACAGTGGTACCTTGGTAGTCAAATGGCTTGGCTCCTGAACAAATCGACTCCCTAACGCCACAAACCCGGAAGTGAGTGAGCCGGTTTGCAAATGTTTTTCGGAAACCGAACGTCCAACGCGGCTTGGTTTTCAAATGTTTTCGGGAGTCGAATAGACTCCTGGAATGGATTAAGTTTGACTACCAAGGTACCACTGTACTGTAGCTAAGGATGGTGTGGTGATACTGGTTCATCTGAGCTATGAGAAGCCTACAGAATCAAGACCAAGTGCTCTCTTGTTCAGCCACACTAGTTAAGATTTCCTCCCCACCAAATTGATAGGAACGCCCATTCAAAGCTTCTGAAAAAGAACATATCAGACACAAAACCAAGTTTGGAAAAAATTAATATTATTTAAAATATGTCTGACTTAAATATTTCCACATAACAAAGTGTTATTTTCAAGTCACCAGCTATATCACTTATATACATATGTCCATAGTTAACAAAACAATTATGAGATGTCCTATCAAAAAGCAGTGATTTTTCCCATTCAGGAAATAGAAAGAACTAGTCGTATAATACACAAGTATAAATTATATGTACATATATCTTCTTTCTGGAACTGAGGGCAAATAAAAAGCAATTATTCTTCAGAAAGGTATAACATGTCTACATTACAATAAAATGAATCAATACTGATTTTGAAGTGGTCACTTAAAGTTGAAAACTTTATGAGCACTTCCTGTAACTGGGATTTTTGTTATTTACAAAATATACTCAACAGCCACATAGAGGCTTAATTATCTGTATATATACATACGCACACATATATATAACATATAAAGAAATTCAAAAATTTAAAGTAAAATTAAGCAAAATCCTTCTGTCTTTGGAATGTCTTAAAACAGAAAATGCTTTATTCCAGTGTTTCTTTAGATATATTACCTTTTCTAAGTAAATGGGGCTTTTCAGAACATTACTGAAAAGCCTAGGTAGTTTTATTTTTATTTTTAATCAAATGTCAACAAAATCAGGTTATATTAATTGGGGACTGTCAGAAACCAATCTGCATTTGCTGATACAACTTGTGCTACAGCTCACTTGGTTTGCTCAAGACAAGGCATGGTAGTATGCCCTATTATTTTTAACTTATGGCTTATGTTTTTCATAGTTATCAAGCTAACACTTCTGAGCATTAAGACCTAACACAGGAAATATGTGCATTTGTTGTTCACTTCAAGGAGATTCTATTATTAGTTACATTTTCTTTGAATAATTATTGCTGAATGTGAAGCTAAACATGTACAATTAAGAAATTAATTTTTAAAATAGCTTTAATAAAATGAATATGGTCCATCACTTTCTGACATGTCAGCAACACCAGCACCATAATGTAATACCAATTAATGAACTAAAGTAATACCAGACATTTAATGCCGTATTGTAATATGAATTCTCTACTGCATGCATCTAACTTTGAGATACTCTTTCTTCCAATTAATTTTAAGCAGTCAGGACATCCTCATGATTGCCAGAACTTCCATGCTGTCTACCTTCTAATCAACGTTCATTGATACCAAGATCTGGGCGTGTGTCTTTTGTTTTTTTTACATGAATACACGTATGATGGGATTCAAAAGATGAGCAAACTCCATGTACCTGAGATCATTGATTGTAGTCAAGATAGCAAAGTGTATCTGGTGTTTCTTCAATATCCTACAAGCTTACAAAAGACAATCATTCTTTTGGTAGTTTTGTAAAATTTAAAAAGTTATATTATCTTATTATTTTTAATATGTTCAGTTTTAATAGTAAAAATCCATAGGTGACTATCTTTATAAAAATTCTAGTCCTGAAAGCATTTTGAGCTTTCACCTTGGTTGTCATCAAAAAATATTGGTCCATTCATTTGAAGATTCTTGAACAACCTCTTCCAAATTCAGAGCACGATTAATGTCTTCACCTTCCTGTCCTTGATGACTGGTAGATTCTTGTATTGTGCCTACCATAACAAGGAAGAGAAATAATGCTAAGAGATCTAGTGAAAATACAGAAGAGTTACATTTAAGCGCTGCTTGACTAAACATCCAATAAGAAATGTGTAAGATTTATTTGGTGGAAAAGCAAACTAAATCCAGCCACGCTTCATGTAATATTTACCTATTAAAGAGTACTGTTTACATCCTTTGAAAGTAATAATGTTGGTACAGTGCTATGGATGGAAGTGCTCATCTGTGGGCTGACTGTTCCTTTCAATGGACAGAGCAAATGTATTCACATTAAGGCACGTGAATGCTTAATCTATTCTGTCCATTTGAATTAATGAGGCAGTCCATGAGGGCAATGGAGTGCATTTATTGATGCAAGAAGTCACTGAATCATGGGAAGAAACTATCATCTATACAGCAACCTAAAATTACTATATATATTCCATTACATGCTTCACAGAAAGCAAAAGTTCAGCTTAATGTAAATGAACCCAGAGTGAGGCTCAGACTCATGCCCTCCACCCTCACATGTGTTTAACAGCTTTTCACTTCCAGTTTAGCCTAAGTGCAACTTGTTGTCTTGTCTGATCCAACAAACAGTGCCAGAAAAAAAAGAAAAATAAAAAAGGGAAGGGGAGAAAGCAAGAGCTCAAGGCTCATTGACTTCACACAGAACTATGGTTAAGCATGATCTTCAAACCAGTTTATATTGCCTTCAGGAATGGCACAGTGAAATAGCAAGAGAATTATCACTAAGAACTTCCTTGCTTTGATATGGCTCCTACATACATCTAGGAAAGAATTATTCCTTTAGAAGAAACTGTTGGGCAAAAAAAGAACCTATGAAGTTGCATCAAGCTTTCTAACCGATATTTTAAATTTTATTGATTTATCATTTTTGTCAACCGCTTTGATGTTTTCCTACTATCAAGCAGTACATAAATTTATGAAATAAATAAACTGAGTAATTGTAGACTATAACTCTGTACAGTTTAGGAAAGAAAGAAAAATGTTACTATTCAGTACAAACAGCAACACATTCATACACATAAGCCTTGCAGTACATTATGTACTTTTGAATGCCTACAGCAAGGGTGAGAATCCACTTTTGTCTGGCCTGCCACAGCAATATATGTCCTACACCCAAAGTTTCATGAGGTTAGGTGAGTGACAGGGGACATGGGCTGACAAAAATGACATTTTCTCCAGCCCTGGCCTGGAGAATGAGAGCAGGGGCTGAGATTTAAAAAGAAGGAAAAAGTAAAATAAGCTCCCAGCACTCAATGCTGTCCAAATAAACGAGTAATGTTGAAACTTGAGAATATTGTACCACAAATGCCAGGGCTGGTTTAAGCCCTACAGTATTCTATATAAAATTTTCACTTGGCAAATTTTACATACCAGAATAGCCATGTGCTCGTTTCATATGAAGCTTCATATTGCTTTTCTGGGTAAATCCCATTGCACAATAATCACATTTGTACGGTCTTTCTCCTGTGTGTTTTTTCATATGAACTTGCAAAGCACTCTTCTGGTTAAAAGCCTTCTCACACAACGTGCACTGAAACGGTCGTTCTCCTTTAATAAACAAGACACTTTTAGAACATTAACTGCAAAGTGATGCAAAGTGGAGTAAAACTCCTTAAACTTCACAAATACACTAGTTTTACTTGAACTGGCTATGATCACCATTTAAGGGACCGTTCTCACTCAAACCTGGTCAAGACAAGGAACTATTTAGCTCCTATGCATTGGGCTGAAATAACGGAGCACCTGACTCTGAGATCTGTGCGCTGTTAGGAAAAGGCCCAGAGAAGCGGAATAGCTCAAACACTGCTAATTTACTCTTGAACAGAGATGCTCAGTTAACTTTGCTGAACTCCTTTCTTCCTTTTGAACTATGCTGTTCCTTCTTTGGGCATGGCGTGTAAAGATAGCATAAAGCATAAGGTTAAACAGGTAAAAGTTTCAGTTGCTGCATTACTCCTAAAAGTCCTCCAACTTCCACAGTATGGATCACCCAGGGAGGCCGACCTGGTGCCTTTGTTACATATCTTTACACACTATACAAAAACATCCCAAGCTTTGGGCTAGTTAAACAATCTATGGCCTTTTAAACTGTGTGTGTGTGTGTGTGTGTGTGTGTGTGTGTGTGCTTGCTTGCTTGCTACTATGTTACGCATATTTGCGATTTTATATTGTAAACCAGTGGTGGCAAAAATTGGCCCTCCAGCTGTTTTGGGAATACAGTTCCCATCACCCCGACCACTGGTCTTGTTAGCTAGGGATGATGGGAGTTGTAGTCCAAAAACAGCTGGAGGGCCAAGTTTGGCCACCACTGTTGTAAACCATCCTGTGATCCTTGGATGAAGGGTGGTATAGAAATTTAATAAACAAATTAAACCAATAAACAGCCCAGGCACTCTGATTGCTGCCTCTCACTTCCTATTGTCCCAGATTCTGCTGCTAATGCAATGGTGAGGATGGGTAGGATCACAGCTATTGGATTAAGTTGTTTACAATTTACTTAACCGTTTGTTAAATTGAACAGCTTGTGGCTAGCCACCTGTACTGATAATTTCTTACCTGTATGAATGCGGCTATGCCTTTCCAGCTGGCTCGGCTTAGCAAAGGCTTTTTCACAGGTATCGCATTTAAATACCCTTGGCTTTTGAGAACTTAATGATGGTCCTGCCTGGTGAGTCTGCAAATGCTCCTAATTCAAAACAAAGAAGAAATACATAGAACATGTTTAGGTAAGAAAAATAATAATGAGTGCTAAGTTGCTCACACATCCTTTTGTCAACACCAGGCATAGGCAAACTCGGCCCTCCAGATGTTTTAGGACTACAACTCCCATCATCCTTGGCTAACAGAACCAGTCGTCAGGGATATTGGGAATTGTAGTCTCAAAACATCTGGAAGGCCAAGTTTGCCTATGCCTGGTCAAGACCTACAAAATCTGAAGCCAGCAATGGCCAAATTCAATCTATTTTATAAAGAATGCAAATAACAAATTCCTTAACAAGTACAAGACCTTATTGAATTAAAAATAATTTTAAATTTAGAAGAAAAACACAAAGCACAACCATTTGCAACTTCACAGTTTCAGCAGAATGTTAAAAACAAAAGCAGCATTTCTCCAAATTCCAGATTTCTTTCCCAGTAAAGAAGCCCACACCCACATAAGCCAATATGGCTCAGTTCAGGTGTAACAGCTTTCCATTATGTCTGAACGAAGCCTAGAAATCAGAATCAAAACTTATTTTTCCTTCTGTACCTGCAAAGAACCAGAATACAGATTTTGCATGCTATAGGATTAGATTGTAATTTTGCTTCCTGACCCAAAAATGACAGACAATGTGATTCGTATTAAAAACATATGCAATGCTAAATGGAAAAAGAAACAAGCAGAATCAACTGCACTAAAACAGTTAAACAGACGTTTTCATAAAAAGGATGGTCCAGGTGAGCCTCTTAACCATCAAGACAGAGGTAACCAACTGCTTTTTTAAGATAAGGGCATTTGGGAGTTTGCACTCTCTGCCACACAGGAAGAATATCATACCAGCTGGAGCAGCAAATTGGCCCCATCCATTTGCCAGAGAAAAAGTAGCTCCAAGAAGATAACTAGCTAAAGAATACTTTGCTCCAACTGCCAGTTGCCCTGGGACTACAGACAAGCAGGAAAGCACACTCTGATCCCATTAACCAGCCAGAAGGCAGGAGGTTGAAAAACAGCCCAGATATTAAAAAAATGGAAGAATTCTAATGCATCAGAGGAAATACTATTGGAACCCCAACATCCAGACATAATTTTGAAAGCATCCCTACTTGTTATTAAATGGAAGAAAGTTTATAAAGAATCTTTTAACTCTTATCAAAGTTTCTTAATAGGAACAGAACTGTTTTCACCAAAATATACCCACAGTGAAGCGGTAAAGGTAAAGGGACCCAACGGGCAGACGACTCTGGGGTTGCGGCACTCATCTCGCTTTACTGACCGAGGGAGCCGCCGTTTGTCCGCAGACAGCTTCCGGGTCATGTGGCCAGCATGACTAAGCTGCTTCTGGTGAATCAGAGCAGCGCACGGAAACGCCGTTTATCTTCCTGCCAGAGGAAGCACTTTGACGTGCTTTCGAACTGCTAGGTTGGCAGGAGCAGTAGATGGTCACAATAAAAATAAATAAGAACGCCATTTTCAAAGGGATACCTCTTTGCCTAGTTAGACCTCTTTGAAGTTTTCAATATAATTAGTTGTGAATTTTATTTCGTACCTTAAGGTGTGTTGCTCGTTTGAAGGCTTTATTGCAAATATGACAAACATGGATTCTTTCCTTTCCATGAACTTCTTTACTGTGCTGCATAAGCATGGCAGCTGAAGAAAAAGTCTGACTACATTCAAAACACTGGTGCACACGAGGCTCTTTTTCAGCTTGAATGCCTTTAGATAAACTTGGAGAAATCTCATTCACCTGCAACAGTTACATAAAATATACACACATTACGAGAAATAAAACCACCTAAAACTCAAGAGATAAACATCACTCTTCAGATGCAATGATGCTTTGAAGAACACATTACAATTGAAATAGGTATTGAAATATCTCGTGCAACTTTTATTTCAACTTATTAGTAAAATAAAGTTATGGAGCAATTCTGCCAACCCCTTCAGGGAAAGCACATGAGTGCCTGGTTGTGGTGAAATTCTGAAGAAATGGATCCCTGGGTGTGCTCTGCTCCTGCTAGAGCCCCACTCCCAATCAGATCCACAAGCCAATTACTATTTTCAAATAACCATCACCATAATAAATTAATTTTCAGGTTGACTCTGAAAGAAGAAAAAGAAGGGGCAGGGAAATAAAGAAAGCGAATTTCAGTGAATCCCCATCAGAATTAGAAGAATTCAAAGTAATGATGGTGCAGAGCACAGGGTAATTGAAGTAATTGCCTTTTCCTGTCAATTACTCCTTTAGGACTAATCTGTGTTTGGCAGCATACCAGAAGTGAGCAAGACCAGAGCCAATGGTGGGTAGTACCAGTCGTTCGCCCCCTTTCTTTTTTTATGCTACCTACATGATGCACTGCTGCGTCAGGCAGGAGGAAAAAAACTGAGGGAATTGACCCATATTCCACAAGTCTTTGCTCCTGCCAGTCGTCAGCTGGTGAGGGATGTCCCACACCATTGGCTGCAGCGTCCCTCAAAATAAATTTAGGCCAATGGCCACACGAGGCCTATGACAGCGGAGTGCCCACCACTGGCATATAATGCAAACAAAAAGGGATGTAAGAAGAAAAAGACACCTTTAAGAATTAGACTAACTTTAAAATGGAGACTTCCAAGACATAAGAATGTGCACTTAATTTCACATTTAATATTCACAGTGTTCAAAAGGAAAGATTTGGTTAATATGAAGCAACTTCAAAATTCTTCTTGCAAATGCAAAGGTCAAACCTCCAAATTTAAACCTCCATACTTAACTTCCATAATATACTAAATTGATTAGGATAAGATAAATGAGAACATAATTCTTCACCTACATAAATTCTACAATATATATATTAAGCCTATATTTTATCTTTATTCAAGGAACAACATACATTAAAAAGTTTACCTGATATGCTAATTCATCCTGGCTTGAAGGTATTGAATGTGGGGTATGACTCACTAGTATAACTTGCTGGGAGCTTGAAGTGCTCTGTCCAGAGAGATTAGAATCTGTCAGTAAAGCAGGGAACTGTTGTCCCTGCCAAAAGAAAAAGTGAAATGCATTACATTTAGAAGAAAATGTAACTGCAATGTGCAGTCAAAGACTATAAATATGAATTTGTTGATGTGTCATAACACCAGATTTTTCTTTGAAACTTTTTAAATCTGCTGTTGCCGTAAACTGTTATCTATCTCACTGAGTCCACAATAATAGCAACAACAAAACCAGTAACACAGCCCATGGCTCCAAGAATCAAGCCATCTAAAACTCAACATGAGACAGAGAGAAAGAGGAGGGAAAGGGAGGAAAGGGTATACATTACAAGAAAAAATATGTGTTACTTTCAGTATGGTATGGAGACTAAGGATTTGTGTCACAGGATACATAAAGATACATAAGGAAAGGTGTGTTTAGATAAGGGATTTCCAGGGAGTAAGAGACTGGGCATCACAGTTCTCAGAGCCTCTCCTTAAGAGGCAGGTGGTCACTAGTGCTTCCTAGGGCATGTCATGGGTGCTTTTAAAGGCAATTTTTGGCTTTGCCTGGATTAAACTAGGAAATGCAGACCTTCAGGGATGGATAAAGGGAGATATGCCTCACTGCATGGGCTGTTTGACCTGTTATTATATACAGAATTTTCCTTCTCCCAACTATTATTTACAAAGTATGTCGGTAAACTCTATGTTTATGTTTATTTTAGAATAGCAAAGCTACAAAGTGAACACCACTTCTACTTTATATTCTAGGTCCTTCTCTAATATACTTAATAGGTCTTGCCCTATACTTAAAGCATCTCCTACAAACGCTTGTGCAGACTGCAGCAACCTGAAGCTGTTTTCAAACTACCCTTACAGCAAGAATTTGCTTATCAGTAATCCACAGGTACATTGCAAGTGTGTTAATTAATGTCATAAAACTAGGGGAGAAAACAGCTGGTGAATGCTTAGCAAAGAAAGCCTTAGTAACTATTAACAATGAAGATTTCTCAAAAAGAGCTGAAACTTGACAGTGTAATCTTCAAACAACTGCAGCAGCAGAAACACCACAAGTCAACAAGCACTGAAAATCACAGGCAAAACAAGTTCAATAGGAGTATTAGAGTAAATTTTAAAAGTAGCTATATTGACATTATACATTAGGGAACATAATCTTTGTACTGTACAAATATTTTCTTTGTCAAGCTGCATTCAGGCTTCCTTTGCCCTAGTTTTATAGCAGGTATTAATTTGCAGGAATATTAATTAGCAGATACCAGGTATCAGGAATAGGCTAGAACTGTGACACAAACCTGCGATGTGATGTTAAGAGTCACCGCATCAAGACCAGCAGATAGCATACTCTGAGTATCAGCTAGGGTCAATGTGACACTACCATCTCCTCCGACTCCTGGTGATGACATTACTAAATTCTGAGCTGGCTGAGACATGGGGGGTGTTGAAGGAAGGTTCCCACTTGATGCATTAAGCTCTGTAAAAAGGTATGATATGTCAAAACTCTACACATAATTATCATAATTTACTAGTTGGGAAATGTACCAATCTGCCTAACACTATGCTTTTATGAATACTCATGGCTGTCCACTTTTCATAACATGTTCCGTGTAGACACTACAGGCAGCAACCATTTCATGTGGGGATTCCGTTCCCGGCCACCGTGCGCATCAGTGGAGTGGTAATAACTGTGCCACGCCCCCATTGGACCTGCCTTCTTCCGGGTCCAAAAGGACCTGCACATCGGTGGGCCTAAAATGGTTGCCACCTGTAATAACTTACAAGTGGAAATTGCTCAGGCAGGCTGAAATAACAGCATTTTAATAACAGTATGAAACAATATGAACATAAAAGTAGCTTACAATGCCATTTTTAATGGAAAAATCTAATAAAAGAATGTATTGCAATTGATGGAAGGAGCAAAAAGGGAAGGCATTTGTATGACTTGGGCTTCAATGAAATCAGGCGTTTTTGAGAAACCAGTTCTCATTTCTTCACTGAAACCGCTAAGCCAGAATATAATAAGATGCCACAATACAATTTACTTGGAAAAAATTATTAAAAGCCTACCTGAACTACTATTCAGCACCGGGCTCTGAGAGAGGAGTTGATCATTACTTATTGTTAATGTAGCACCTGCTGACTGATTACTGATTGTTGGTGTTGCAAGTCGTAGATTCCCATTCAGTTCATTAGCTCCAGAGGAATTATGCTGAATAAGATCCTGGCCTAAATGCAAAATTGAATCTATAAGCCAATGAAGATCTGTATTTGCTTCTGCATTTTTTTCATATATAAAGTTAAAACAGGAGATAGAGGAAGAGTTAATATGCTATGGAAGCTAAATGCCACTACACCAAAGTGTGTGGATATCTTTGAACCAAGGCTTGTGAAGTAATAAGCATATATTATTAGACAAACAGAGTGACTTTACACACACAAAATGAGGATCGTTTACTTGCCAGATATGGTAAGGGTAATTTCTTGAGGGGTTCCTGATGAGTTTGAAGTAGTTGTACCAGAGGCATGAGCTAAAACATGGCTCAGACTCGAATTATTTATTGTCAATGTAATCTCATGCTGACCATTTGAATTTGAAACCATACCCTGTGAAGTCATGACCTGAGACAGATCCTGTGAACCTAAACACAAACAGGGTAATAATAATAATAATCAGCAGCAAAACTTCAATATGTTAATATTTACTGTTGTGATGCCTGTTCCAAGATAAGCAGAAGGCACAGCAGCAGGTCTTAAACTGGCATGGCCCAATTATTCACAAAAGCAATATAAACAATTCCAGGAGGAATCACAATGATTGAGAAGAGATGGTGTTCCCAACTTCGATGCAGATTATCCTATGTCTTGGCAAGTAGCCCCATGCACTTGTTTGGAAGTAACTGAATGGGTAGAAATCCTCACTCCCCTTTGTCTGTAGTTGTCAATCTCTTTTGCCCCTGTATACAGCCTCATCTGCTTCAGGGTGCTAGCAGACGGGGGGCTAGGAGAGGCCTTTGAAAAAATTTCTCCAAATAGTTAGCCCACTCAGCCACTTCTATGCATGACTCTACATGCAAATAACTCTTTAAAAAGAACCCAATCACCCTATTTATTCAGGATAATGATGCATCATATATTAAATGATTTAAACAATTAGGGAATTAAAAATACATAAATGTTCCTCAACCAGGAACATATTTAATTTAATTTGTGTTTTTTTTTTAAAAAAAAAATCTTTATTGATAGAAATACATGGTTGATCAGCATTTTCCAAGAGCAATAATATATTTGCTCTTAAAATTGAAATTAATATTTATATAATAAACTTACAGAAAAGATGAGCAAAATAAATTTAAATGTGGAATAATTCTGGGAGGTTTTAGCAACAGAACCCTTCAAAATGGAAGTGTGTGCTTTTGTATCAATGCTTACCAGCAGTGTTCGTAGTCAAAACAGCTTCTTGCTCAGATATAGGTCCTATCGTCATATTTGCTGAAGAGGTAACAGTGGGCTGTAAGGACAAGCTTGACAAAGGTTGTATTACCACATTTGCTGGCACTGAACTATCTGCTGTCTGGAGGGAGGTGTTCTGAGTAGCCAAACTGGGATCCCCAGTTAGCTGCTGGGTCAGTACGTTACCCTGTTGTAGTGTCTGCTGCAAAAGACTGGGATCAATCTGAAAAGAAAATGAATATAGGAGATGCAAATAGATGACACCTCTCCACAAAATATTATAGAATTTATCAGAGAAAGTATTGCCCCATCTTCGAAGTAAGCTAGTTTTAAGTAAACTCTAACCATGGTAGCAAGAGTTAAGTTATAAAATCTAGTTTTTGCCAAAGCTTGATAATTTGCACAGATTATTGAGATGTTTTCTATTTACAATCACCACATTTGCACATAATGCTAAGCCCCCCCCAATGGTTTAATAAGCCAGGATATGCATGAGCAGTTTATATACAAAAGCAGTCTCTTTGCATTTATCTGTGCAACGCTTACTCTTTATTTGTTTATAAAAGATAATACAGAATAAACATACTTGTAATGTAATGTTGTTGATGCTGGTAGGATCTATTCCAGATATTTGAACGTTTGGTCCAACCAAGTTAGCAGCAAGCTGTAACTGTATTCCTTCAAGGGTTGCCAAACTACCATCCGTCAAGGATACAGTTAAATCACCTCCAGCTATAAAGGAAAACAGTCATATATATAGTATCCTTTATTTTCAGGAAGCCATGCCAACAAGTTCTATCTTCTATGGATAAACATATTGCATTCATAAGCAGCCCACAACAAGTGCTTGTAAACAAAGATAATTGCCCCGCCTTTCTCCTCTAGTTCTCTCTGCCCTTCCCTTTCTTCCATCCGGCATATCTAAAAGCAACCGATGTAGATGGGGGGGGGGGAGAGTATCAGGTGGGGGGCAACTTTAACCAGTTCCCTTCCCCTCTCACAGCTAGGTGGGCAGACTGGCTAAAGGATGGGAGCTCTGTTTGAAGTCACTTCACCTTTTCCCAAGCCAAACCTTCCCTTTGGCTTACTGGGCCACTGAACTGGGGCAGGTAGTGTGGGTGCAAGAGGAATGTACATGCAACAGCTCCTCAGACTGATCTCCGCTGCTGAAGCCAAGTGAGCCAATGAGGTGCGCAATGAGTGAGCCAAACCTGTTAATCTCGCCCGAGCTGTGCCTTGTTCAGAGCATGAACCATAGTCCTACTTCTTCCTTATCAGGTAATACCAACAGAAAGAGGATTTAAACCCCAAGCAGAACAATGACAGTGTTTACCTGACATTGAAGCAGGAAGTATAGCCTGACCAACGAGACCTTGTGGAAGCAAATTTTGGTCAAACTGGCCTGTCAGAACAGAATTATTCATGATGAAAACATTGGGATCTGTTGAGGATGAATTAAGAAGGTTTACTGGCTGTAGTCCCTCAGCCGGAGTGCGAGGCGCAGGCTTCCTGGCCTTCTTGGCCTCTGGTTTAAAGTGACACTGTATGTGGGTCTTCCTCCGTCCAGAAGTTCGAAACCTCAAGTCACAGTGAGGGCATTTAAAGGGTTTTGCTCCAGTATGTAAGCGCATATGCACTTTCAGACTACCTTTTGTAGAAAAAGAATTGCTGCATACGTGACAACTGAAGAGCTTTTGACCTGGAGAGTAAGAAAACAGTCTGATGTCAGTTGAAAATAAAGATCCTAATCTCTTTACAGCTATGACCCACTGCAATTCTGTTGAGCGTGTACAGAGGAGGCCGCTGTCAAACATTGTGTCAGAAAATTGTGTCCCTACATGTTCCTGTCTTCCGTTCCCAATCCACTTTCCACGCAGAAAGTGAGACAATGAGCAAGGACATATATTTCAATGTAGGGTGTCCCTGAACTTATGGTTTAAAATATGAACAGCTGTAGCAAGTGTTTAATACAAAAGTTTTGCACAAGCCTGATAGTCAGCTGATAAGAGCTCCACATAAATAAATAAAAATAATTCAGTATGTACTGTGATCACAGTATCCAAAGTCATCTCCCACAAATGCAGTGATTTCAAGAAAACAGCTCCACCTGGCTTGCTGAAATTGCAGCATGCTTTCAGTGTGTGGCAAACTGCTAGAAATACGCATGCACATACTGTCTGGGGAGGGGAAATGGCAGTTCCACACTAGTGATGGCTGCATATGTATAATGGGTTATTTTTCCTCAATGGATTTTCCACAGTAAAAAAATATATCTGATTCATATTTTTTTAAGTACAGGCTGCCATTTTGATGACAATGACATCAGGTGGACAGTGAGAAAAGCTAACATGCATTAGCAGCACCTGTTCCACAATAAACCTCCATCTGGAAGCACCCTTCAACACTAAAAACAACAACCACCCACTGCTGTAATATTCCATTAAAAACCCAAACATCCCAGCCAGATTATCATCCTAAAAAATTCAAGTGTTTTGATGTTCCTGGGGGTTTTTTCACCTGCACATTTCATTAGAGAGTTGGAATTATAAAACATCTTGCTTACCTGTGTGTGTTTTTACATGGCAATCCAGAGTAGACTTTACAGTAAAACTCTTTCCGCATTCATCACATTTATATGGTTTTTCTCCCGTATGGATACGCACATGCCTAGTCAAAAATAGTTGTTCTTCAATTACTATATGCTTATGCTAATACTGTATGTTTATCAATGTCTGCTGGCCAACACCAATGTTTACAAAGCAATTAAAACATCTAGGTCTAAAAAAATTGAGGAGCATTGAAATGTGGTTTGCTAAGCAAGTCGAAAAAACCATGTTTGGAAACATTTTCCAAGTCCAATTATACCTGGAGCTACTAAGCCACAGATTTTCATTTAACAAGCTTTTCATAAAATGGCTGCAATCTAGGGACCACTTTAATTTATTTAAAACATTCCTATACCACCCCTCATCATATCAGATACCAGAGTGGTATACAACTATATAGAAAATAAGCTATTTGAAACCCATTACAATTAAACACTAACATCAGCAACCATAATGAAAGATAACAAATTAAAATGTATTAACTTGTGCTGAAAAAACTGTAATGCAGGTACCAGGTGGACCTTTTTAGGGAGGGCATTCCAGAAACAGGGCACCATCACTGCGAAAGTCCTATGAGTAGGACTTCAGACATTTTTAATTTGAACTGCTGCCTCCCATTCCACATTGCAAGCTACATTTGAAACTCCTCCACATTTCAGAAGTAGATCCAATGTGATATGAACAGCTGCTACTAAGAAATCAGTTAATAAACAACTTGGCATGCAATAAATGGTGGAATTGTTTAGACTGTGGTCTAAATAATTAAAACCGAGCCGCAAAAATAATGTGCTTCGTGTGTATTCTTTAGCTTTGGGGTGGCAGGTCTTCTTACCTGACTAAATCACTAGGTTTTTTAAAGCTTTTTGGACAGTAAGTACAACAGTTGGCATATTTTGGCTCGGCTTCCATTTCTGCTTGCTTGTCTTTGATTTCACTAATTCTGTCCTTTTCTGCAGCAGATTGGACAAGAACTTTTTCAGAAACAGTTGCGCTTTCTTGTGGCCTGATTTTTGCAAGTTCTGCTGTTTCTTCCTCTGTGAAAGTGATAACACCAGGTCTAGATTTTCTAGAAGATGTTCTTTCAGAGGTCTCATCATCATCTTCTGCATATTTCAATAGAGAAACAATAACATGTTATAGAATACTTTTAGAGGCCCATTAAAATAATCAAACAACCTCCGTGAACATCACACTGTTTAAATATCAAAGTGATTATTCATGCATATGGGGAAAAAAACTCACCTCCTCCTGCTGTTTCTCCACCTGATGCTGCCGCTGAAGACACAGTTTGATGCTTTTTCATGTGCTTCTTGCAGTGAACAGTAGTTCTGAAACTTTCATCACAAAATAGGCACTTGTATGGTTTCATGCTCATGTGAGTTGCCATATGTCTAGTAAGGCTTCCATTAGTAGTAAAGGATGTATTGCAAATGCTGCAACTGAATGCTTTAACTCCTGAAGAAAAAAGGACAAATAGGCTTTCTGGTGATCTAACAGAAAATGTTCAACAATGAGTCAGATTTAAGGTGCAATTCCAAGAACAAAGCAGCGACTTGCTTTCAATTTGTTATTTGACATTTTTATCCCACTCTTCCTCCAAGGAGTAGAAACAGTGACTGGCACAAAATCAAGGAAACAGTTTTATAGCTGAGTGGGGAATGAAATGGATTCTCCCCATTTTTAGTCCAGCATTTTAAACACCACACCATATGCTCTAATTTAGACCATTTTAAAAGGCTCTTCTACCAATAACCATTACCCATGTCAAATGAATGGGATCTCCATATCAGAGGCAGTATACTTTGAATTCTGGAGATGGCAATGACTTATATGCTTTGCTTTGGACTGCTCAGCAGCCACTGTTGAGAACAGAAAGCCAGACTACATGACCTTTGGTTTAATTCAGCAAGGAAATTCTTACACTGACATGCTCTTCTTTTGGACACAGGAGAATTACAAGGCTTAAAATGACTAGCAAAAGAACCAAATATTACTACTGCTTTATCACCTGTATGTGTCTTCTCGTGAGATTTAAGAACTCCAGAAGAAACAAATCCTCGTCCACACAACTGGCATTTATAAGGCTTTTCTCCAGTGTGAGAACGTACATGCTGCTTCAAGTGGCTGGATTTCTTGAAACCCTTGTTGCAATATTCACACCTACAAAAATGGAAGTTCAGTTGGAATGAAATGAAAAGTCAACTTTGATGATGGCCTGTAAATAAATATGACATGTCATTGCTTCCTGGTTTACTGCTAGCAACAAATGATATTATACAGAATTGTAGTTCATGAATTTACGACTTAAATGTTTCCCAGTGACATATATTCAGCCCATAAACCAATTTGCAAATCTGTGTTTACTCAGAAGTAAGTCCCACTGTGTTCAGTAAGAGAGTGGACTTTTCCTTTCAACAGCTACATAAGAATGGCCAAATGTGAAGTTCAAAAAACCTGTAAGAACGCTTGCTTTGATCTTCATTATCTTCCAGAAACTGAGAGCGTTGAGGATGCAGCTCAAGTTCTTGTGACTGATCTTGAATCAGGCGGGTGGTCTGGGAAGCAAATATTAATTTTTCAGTTGTCAATACAATATTAAAATCAACTCACCTAAACATGTAACAAGGATGGCTAAACTCTACATTTAACCCAGTAGAGTTGTGTGGCAATAAAATGGCCTACTCCTAAAGGAAGCTTGTCTTTAGCAAAGGTGACAGATTCTTTATTCGTCTTCTTTTTAACTCTATTTTACTGTTACATGTGGTGACTATAGAACAGCTGACGTCTCAAAGGTCTAGTCACCATTTCCATTTCCCCCAAATGTCCTGGGCATTACAGGTCATTGTGGGGATGCAAAATGTTCAGTTGGTGAAGAGGTACAGCTCTTCTCTCTGAAGTAGCAATATCTGACCTAAGAATGCAAGTTCCACAAAGCTAAAAAAAACCACTACAAACCTTTCAAGTAAATACTTACTACATTAATAGCATCTGGTGCAGGAACCTGAAGTAGATTTGGTTGGTGGTAGCTTGTTGAAAGAGCTTGGGATTCAAGGGTGCTTGAATCTTGAAGCTGCTGTACTGCTGGAAATTGATTTTGCTGACTGTAGCCATCATTAACAGTAAAACCTACCAAAAGACAAATGAGAAAGCTTTATTAGGCGTGAGGTTATTGGATTGTTTTTGTTTTTTATTATGTATTTTGTGTTTTTATAGTGTGATTTTATCCTGTGAAGCATCCTGAGACCTGCAGGTACAGGGTGCTATACAAATTTAATAAAGAACAATTTATTTATTAATTATTATTATTATTATTATTATTATACAGTACATAACTCACACTCATCCATTACAATGCAAGCAACTCACTTTCTGCAAACTGTAACAGCTCAACAGTACGATTCACCTAGCAAGAAGGGATGTAAGGAAAACCTTGTACCAATTTTAATCATAGATCCATAGATTTTTAAATCATAGATTGAACATGCCTTTGCAAATTAATAGATCCTAAAATTCCTGTCCTCCTTGCCATGGAAGGTCAGGGATTTTGAGTCATGATAGTGGTACCAAAATGATATGGAATTTGTAGAGCTTAATCCTAGGTGTTGCTGAGACATAAGCCAGTAGGATTAAACCATAGCTAAAAAAGAACAAAACAATGGTAACTTATGGAAAGACAATAATAATTTCCTTTTCATCTACAAGAAAACAGCAAAAAAAGAAACTTTATTGGCATCCAATAAACAGGCACAGCAATACTTACCCCCAAGTTTGCCTTCTTTTCAACTATGTTCTCCACAGAACACAATTTGAAGTTTCCTTAAAAAGTTTCAATTAGCTCAGAGCCATTCAGATTCTGAATTTAATGTTATGTGTACATGTGTCTAACAGGTTGACCCAGCTTCCTTTATCTACACTGGTTTCACAAAAAATGTAAGACTCAGTACAAACAATAACAACATACACATTATCCCAAACTAATTCCTATTCCACTATATTTGTGCCTCTTCAAAATGAAGTTATTTGCTCTCTCATAAAATTTATGTTATACCAGCACTTCACATTGAAAAAAACAAGAAGTTTAACTGAATCTACTGCTTCTCTTCTTTCATGGGAAGAAATGAGTTATAAAGACTCTTCTTAAAAACCAAAAAACTCCCTTAAAAGAATCAAGTCTTCAAAAAAGTCCCAACCCCTATGGTTGTAATTCGTGGGCAATCATTTAATTTTATCCTGATTCTAATTTTTAAGCTGTATTTTAATCAATTGTTTAATAGTGTTTTAATGTATTTGATATTTGATGTTAGCCACCCTGAGCCCAGTCTTGGCCGGGGAGGGCGGGGTATAAATAAAAATTTACTTACTTACTTTAAAAGAATCCTTCCAAAAGAATTTAAAAATTATAATGTAGCACCTTAGAGATCAACTGAGTAGTTTTAGGTATAAGCTTTCGTGTGCATGCACACTTCTTCAGATACACTGAAACAGAAGTCATCAGACCCCTATATATAATGAGAGGGAGGATAGGGAATGGGTGATTGGCTAATGGGTATGGTAAGTCTGTTAGTGACCGTTAGTGACAGTTAGTCCCACAAGAAAAAGAAAAACCAAGAGATTTTTTTAAAGGGACAGTACGTAAAGGACCAAGAATCGTTTTAGCCTGTGTAATGGGATACGAATCCAATATTGCTGTTCAGACCAGGTCTCTCCATATTTTCAGTTTAGTGATAAGTTGTAATTCAGCAACTTCTCTTTCAAATCTATTCCTGAAATTCTTTTGTAATAAGACAGCCACTTTGAGATCTTGTATTGAATGTCCTGGGAGACTGAAGTCTCTGTCTCAAGCTCTGGGAGGAAGACCTTTCATAGCCTACAGACAGCCACCCAATCTTAAATTCCTCCTCACCCACAATAATACAGCAACCAAACTTAACATGGAAACTGGTACCAGAGCCTGCAATAAACCCAGATGCCAACTTTGTTGCCACATACACCTGGGTAGTACCATTACCGGCCCCAACAACATCAAGCATACCATCTCAGGCCTACTTAATGGCTCATCTTCTAATCTTCTAACATAGTGTACGCCATCAAACGCCAGCAGTGCTCTTCAGCTGTCTATATTGGACAAACAGGCCAAACCTTACGCCAAAGGATAAATGGACATAAATCTGACATCCGTAATCACAAGACAAGAGAAATCAGAAGGAGAACACTTTAAAATTTATTTTAAAGAACTACAGTACTTGATGTTGGTCTCAATGTTCTTAGCAAGGTGTTCCTCAAATTCTTTTTTTAAGCATCCCTTACACTTGCACCTCTTTTGCCAAAGTTTATATTCCTTTTTGTTCTCATCATTTAGACAAGACTTCCATTTTTTGAAAGAAACCACCATGTATCACAACCACTGACTCCATTTCAGAACTATCTACCAGGCAATCTAGGGGATAGGTATATGTTCCTAATGATCAAATTGCCCACCGCCAGGATCCCTCCACCCCACCCCCCAGAGAAATATCCTCAGCACAAGAGGATAGCTGCTCATCCCCCAAAGAATGAGTCCCTTCCTAAGGAGTTGTTTCCCTTTTCTCAGAGTGATGTTCTCCTTCCCCAAGACCCTCCTTCTCCCTGACAGCAGGGGAACTATCATCATGGAAGGACAATGCAACTATAATATCAGACTTTCATTTTCCTATCTTCCGAGTAAAAAAACAACTAAGAACAATGAAGCACATATGTAGACAAAGAGAGAGGGTCCATCAAGTTAAACACATGTTTCTATATAAACCTACCTGAGATTTAAAATTTCTGAATGGCTCCAGGAACATCAAATAACCTTCAAAGAATAGGAAATCTGTAGAGAGCATTCCAAGTAAAATAGAAATCTTGTACAATACAGATTTTAAACCATGCTTTGTCTAGCATTACTTAATACCTTACATTTCTATGAGATGAATACTTTACGATAAAAAAGAAAACTTTCCTAAATGAAAATAATTAAACCTGTAGTTTCACAAATTAGATTGGCTCTGAAACTCCACTCGATCAGTTTCACAAGCACCAACCTTTTTCTGTAGATGTGGCGACGTTCTGGAATTGCAGTCACTGTGCAGCTGAATGCTGTTGAAGCTTTCAAACATTGCAAAAGCATACTCATAGGTCACTTTGAAAAGTATTATTTAGACATTTACTAACCTTGTGATAATGCTTGCTGATCAAATGATTGCTGTGCTATAGTCTGCTGCTCAAACTGATTCATATTTTCTTGCAGTGCATGTTGGGATGTCACAAATCTATCTGGAAATGAAATGAAATGTGAAAAATGAACATAAGATTTTACTGCAGTCCATTAATTTTCAGCTTTGTATTCTTGTTATAAAAAAGCATGCCTAGGCACTCTGTTGTGGTACCTATAACCCAGGTTTAAGGTATCATTTAGCTTCTAGCTGTCACATCTGTTTCTAATACCAATCATGTTCACTGAACGAGCTGCAGCATGGGTCTAATGTGACTTTCTTTCTGCAATGAAAGGAAGGTTCACAGAAAGCCTGAAACTCATACTGAGTTGAGATTTGTCCCCAATAAATGATGCATTAATAAGACCATTCATATTACCACTCAGCTACTGCTGCAGCTTTGCACAGTAGACTCACACAAAAAAATCAGGTTCATTAAGCCTAATCATAACATTTAAGGACAGCTGCTAAACAAACTTCCCTTTAAACTGACTTATTTACCAATCTTTTCTACTACATTTACCTTCCTCTTGACCAAGTGGTTGATCAGTCAACTGTGGCCTCAGTTCAGTTTCCTCCGAGTCCACAACCTGCTGCTGGTCCAAATCTAAAATAGTTTCTTGATCTGTTGTGACAGCTTCAGTTTGCTGCAGCTCTTCACTTTCAATCTCAACTTGCATTTGAGTAGAAACATGAATGCTCTGCTGATCTACTGTTGTATCATCAATTGAAGCAGCTTGCTGGTGCTGTTGCAGCTGTTGTGCAAGCTCATACCTGAAAGAGAAAGACGACAGTTCTACTGCACTAACAAAATATGAGGTTGACGGTAGGAGCGTCTTTTAACTGTGTATATCTAAAAAACCTCAGGATAACAAAATAACTTAGTTTGCATTTGACTACCTTCCTATCTGCCTTCAATCATAGCAAATTTCCATTCTGTTCACCTGCAACAAAATATTACTTACAAAATGGGCACCATGTTGCTGTCCAAACAGTGAGCTGCAAGGACAACTGGTGGCACTGACTCTGTTAGCTGAACATTGAGATGGGTCCCACACTACGTGGAGAAGTCCCAGACTCAACATAGCTACATTTTCCTACTCCACCACCCCCAAAAATACATCTGTTAAGGGTCCTCTGTGCCCCAATATAAGATTGCAAAATAACACAACTGGAGACAGGACCAAGCACTGGACAAAGGGAGATGCTACAGCTGTCCAGCCTAGTGCTTCCCTACCCAGTGATAGGCCTTGAACATGTTTTTTAAAAGTAGTACCAATGTGTAACTGCTGGGGCCCTGACCCTTGCATGACCAAGCCAAATGCTGACACCATGCCAGCCCTAATCACTCATTCAGAAGTTGGCTAGAAATTCATTATTGGCATGTCAAGTCTGTTATTCTTCTTTGTTTTTTTTAATTTCTATACTGTTGTTGTTGCTATTTTGTTGTGTGGTTGTATATCCTTTCTATTATGTCTATTGAAAACTAATAAATATTATTGTTAAAAAAAAAAATTCATTATTGGCACACTGAGAAGACCCCTTAAAATTCCCAAACTGAAAAGGTTGGCTGCCCAAGCAGACAGTAGCAATACAAGATCAAGTGCTCGTAGAAAGCATACAGTTAAAACGCACGTACCTGTGAGTTTTCATGTGTTTTTTGCAGTTTAATGAGGTTTTGAACGTTTTCTGACAATATGGGCACATATATGGTCGAAGGTCATTATGGATGCCCATATGCCTCCTTAGACTCCCGCCAGTTGTGAAAGCCCCGTTGCATATTAGACACTTGAAAGCTTTTAATCCTGTGTGTGTTCGGATATGTGCTTTCAATACTCCAGCAGACACAAAGCCTCTTCCACACTGAGAACATTTGAATGGTTTCTCACCAGTATGTGATCTTAAAAAATAAATAAATGCCAAAGTGTGACGGAAGGAAGAGCAAATGTTCAAGTTCAAGATTATTAATGATCAGGTGGAAGAGGGGCGCTCATATAACTGTTCCCAAGTCAGCAAAACTGATTTGTAAGTATTTTATTATACGTTCACAGTAGGACCTACAACAAAATGCTGCTGAATGAAATGCTGCTGTTCCAAGTTTCAAGCCATTCCAACCCGCCTCCTCCGCCTTCCCCCACAAAGCATCAGCCAGCGTTTTGTGCCCACTGAACATGTTTGGTCCTCACTTAACTGTTTTGATGTCTCTTCTCTCCCTTACAGATTTTTTTCTGAAGGGTGTGTGCATGTGCACATGCTTCTGTAAAGCTCTGGGTTCCCCCAATCCTACTAGTATGTTCCTACTATGCGTAGATGGTGCCAATATAGCCACATACAAATAAGTACTTGGAGAATGAGTTTGTTATTAGTATATAGTCATACTAAATTACATTATAACTGGTTTTTTTTAATATATAAACCTAAAAGTAATTATTTATTCTACAGCTATAATTATTTCCAGTTACAGGGTTGAACCCATAAATTTATTACTACCTAGCCCAAGTTATAAACATGATGCTGTACTTTTATAAATTATTTTATCATTACTGCTGATTGTTAAGGAAGAATCAGTCATTCAAAGGGAGTAGGGTGGAATAAGATAGGCATAATGCATCATGATTTGGGGGGATCTAAACTTAGGGGTGCTGAGCACCAGCGTACAATAAAATTATATGATGCAATAATTACATTATTATACCATCTATTTATTTTAATATATTTATCTAATTTGGGTATACAGGGCACCTCACTCTTCGCAGGACAAAGTCAGCACTATTTAGGGAAGTGAAGATTCCCTCTTAATCTCACAAAGAAAAAAAATTACACTCTCCCGCAGATCTGAATTTTGTGCTTTCTAAACCTTAATGTTCTATGCCTTTGGAACGAAGGTGAAACAGCAAGTATATTGGCAGTATAGCAGCACGGGACAGATGTGAGAATACAGAGAAAGAACTGTTTCCTGTTCTTTAATTTTTAGAACATTCTCTCAGCCACCCACATCTTTGCTCTGGAATTTACCGTATATGCTGTTTAAGATGGCAAGACTTTTTATATGCTCTATGACAGTAATAACATTTATATGGCCTATCCGCTTCATTCACAAAATTATTATTGAAGTAATTTTGGAAGAACTGGCTATTTCTTGGGATTGGCTGGATAAGACCTGTATAGAGAAGGAAAGAAAAAGACGGATCAAACTGAGACAGTTTCAAATACTAAAACAATTGTAACACCTAACAGCAGCTGTTTTCAAATTGTCATGCTCTTAGCTTAAGAAACTGAGAAATGGACAAACCTCAGCCGCCCACAACTGCTTTGCTCTTCACATGAATGGTGAAGCATGTCAGGAACCACACTTCCTATGGTTAAGGGCTTCCAAAACAGCCAGAATACTGAAGCCATCTTTAAATCATGGCTTCGTGTTCTGGCTTGCTTAGAAGTAATTAACCATAATTCCCAGTCTGAATGCAATGAGAAGCTCTGGTTAACTGAGGCTTCCTGGCATGATTACGTGTTTATAAGAAGGGAGGAGTAACATAGTTGCATGCAGGTGCCTGACCTTTGTACCTATCTCAGCATATTAAGCCAAGATCCTGATTGTCCAAATACAGCCATATTCTTGCTCCCAAATGAAAGACCTGGTAGTTATTTACACTATGCTATTTAAAATCTCAGGTGACCAACAGTCTGAGAACAATTATGCTGAAAATGTAGAATATTTCTTTGCTTGTATACCACGTATCATCTTTCAACTTTTCACACAATTACAGGCATACGAATCTGATTTGTTCCATGAACCACATACTGAGCTTGTGTTATAAGTGTAATGCTGCAAGTCATGATAACTGCATTACTGCAGCAGACACTGTGCTCTATCCAAAATGTCTCTTTAACCGAATCAATGGCTCAGAGGACTACAAAGTAAGCTACATGCCTAACTACATAACAGCTTTCACAGTAATGACCATCAAAACGCAATCAACAAGCATTTTCCTCAGGCATCTCTTTGGTCAACTGGGAATCCTGGTATTTAGTTTTATTCTAAAAATAAATAGTAAGACTTTATGCAAGCAAAGCATACTGTGCACACTTTACCTAAATCCGTGATGAGTATAGGTTCTTGCAAAGGGATATCAGGTACTGGAACACTTGTCTTTCCTGTACGAAACTTTGCAGGTTTACGGTGATGCCGCATCTTTCTTAGTTCCGTGTGTTTAAAATGAGAGGCAATGTGTGTCTTTCTGTGACCAGAAGTTCGGAACTTTTTATCACAGTGTGGGCAAGCAAAAGGTCTAATACCTAAAAAAAGAATAGCGTATTATGTCTTTAATATTCTACAGCTTCGAAAGCAAGACAAAAGGGTAAATGTATTTCTTGACCTCATCTAGAAACTTTCCCCTTTACAGCCTCTATACATAATTCAGCATGTGAAATATGTCTGTGCGATAAAGTCTGTGCGAAATAAAGTCTGTGAGATAATGATGTCCTACCAGCGTAGGACACTGAGTTCATATGAAATATTTGGACTTGCACACTTCTTCCTGCTCCTCTTCCATGCTCCAAAACATTTACTACCCAATCCAGCTCTACCTAAACATAGCTAAATGAGATGAGTTACACCTGACCGTGGGTGGCAATACACATCCAAAAGCAACATAGTACAGCACTGGTAATATCCACATTTAAATAATATTGCACATGTTACAGGATGATTATTCAAATCACATCTTAAAGTCAACTACTGTCCCAGTCAAACACTGACAAAAGTAAGTATAACCAATCTGTGGTGGAACACCAAAATTTCATCCATCCATCTGTCTTTCTACCACATGTTATCCATACATAAAGTCAATTTATAGTCCCAATTTTGTCATTTAAGGATCATGCATTATTGGGCTAATACATGTGAAACTTAAGGTGAAAATCGCCTGAGCATCAGTTACATATTACAGCCACAACCAATGAAGAGTTTTACTTTTATGGCATCTTAAGGACTAGTAAATTAGAGGATAAGCAAAAACAAAGTTCTGTTGTATTTTCTGCAAAAGAATAACATGGCAACTCTTCTGTAAAATATTATGAACAGTGCATGAAGGCAATGTGGGTTGAGTCAATACAATTTCACTGCCTCGCCCTGCTTTGGTTAAAATAGACATGCAGATGAAGCTCCAGACATTTTTTTTTTTTTTTACATTCCTTGCTAAAGTGAGAACTTGGCAAGATTTCAAACAAACCTGGAAGTCGAAAATATTTGAAGTTTTTCATATTACTGATTAAAACTGTAAAAAAACAACAACTTGGGAAAAAATATTTTCAGATTCTTGCAAATTAATCAGATAAAATGTCCTGCATGTAAAAGGCACATAAGCAACTTTCAGTAACTTCCTATTCTTAAGGAAGTTCTCTCAGTATTACAAAAAGATAAATGTCACAGCTTACCTGTATGTAAGCGAATATGCACTTTTAAACTCCCTGAGGTAGAAAAGCTCTTCATACAGTACTGGCACTTAAAAGCCTTAATGCCGGTATGTGTTTTAATGTGTGCTGTGAGGGTGCTCTTCACAGCAAAGGCCCGGAAACACTGTGGACATTTGAATGGCTTTTCATGTGTGTGAATGCGGATGTGTCTCACTAGATCACTGGGCTTTTTAAATTCTTTAGAACAATATGGACAAATATGCCATCGTATTCCATTTTCCTCACGTATTGTACCTGAAATATAATTTTAGAGGAGATCATAGAAGTACATATTTTACAACTTGAAATACTATTAATACAACAGTCTCAGAAAGAGAAGTCAGAATTTGAAAAGGAGACTCAGTATTAAATTATGGTAAACAAAGTGAAGACATCTTCCATTTCCCTTTAGTCATGGCTCTTCTCAGATTTAAACAAAATTTTAAGTACAAGAAACTAGCTTTAATCATAATATTAGATTAAAATAAAGCAAAACAAGCAAGAGGAAATAAATGGAACTAGATTGGATACAGTGATCAACTGCCCTAAATAAATTCTATTGGGAAAATGTATTAAGAGAAGATGTTTAATATATTTGGAAAGAGTAGAATATTCAGGTAGCACTGTTTTTTCATGGGTAAGATAGTTTGTTTAAGGTGTCATAACTCTCCTCAAAAGTGGCAAACGGAGGGGAATTGACTGAAGGGCATGTGTCCTGCACAGGTAAGATTTTAACAGTTCCATTAATATGCTTAGTTTTAGAGCGTAAGATGGAAATGGGAATTGGTTTTAGAAACTAAGGAAAGGTCTGGCCAGAGGACTAGCCTGTGAGTTAATAACTACAAGGAATACAGTCTTGACTAAGAGTTAAACAGTAAACACCTCTAAGAGATGTTTGGTGGAGTATTATATTTAGTTTACAATGGGGAGAAATGTGATTGTAGACTCTCTCGTTGCTAAAACTAGGGTATTATGCACTCCAGGTATCTTAAATATCCTGTCTGCTTAACCTAGATGCCTGAATGTCATCCATTCCCTTCAATGTGAAGAGCACATTAAGAGTTATTTGTTCTGCACAGTGCAAGAATTAGCTAACCTTCTCATGGAAAAAAGGAGATTGGAATTTTCCTAGCCAGAAAGTTAGGGTGCCCAAGTCTTGGGAATACTGGGATTAGAGTCCTGTCTGGTTATGAGGAGTTAGTCCCTGGTACACACTGGAAGACCAAGAACCCAGAAAGTGATCAACTCACCCCTCCTGGACTTCTAGGAGAAGGGGACTAAGTTTACAAGACTGGTAAACTACACCCAACCTCATATTTTCACCCATCTAATCTTCCACCCGATTCTCCAAGAGGACAAGATATTGGCTCCAATGAGGAAGAAGAAATTGCATCCTAGTCCAATCCCCAGCCAAGTTGTCTTCAAAGAACCTGACTCCTAGTGAATTGAAAGGACCCAGTATCTGTTCCACAGGATGGTGACAAGAAGGAAAAATGGATGTGATAAACAGTAATAAATGGTATTGTATAGTGAACAATTTCATTATTACCAGGTAAAAACTGGGATTTTTTCTTCAGAACTCTTTTTTCCTTTTTCTCTACTTTTTCTGGATTTTCTTGCTCTTTAATTGGTTCTGGATTGCTAGTGTTGACTTGATTCTGAACTTCTGCAATTTCATCCTGACTTGAAGGAGTCTTGTTTTCACTGCAGTCTGCATTTGTTGAGACTGGGATTGAAGACAGCCCACTGTTTTCCAAGGCTTGCTAAGACAAACATAATGAATTAAACTGAGCGCATGATTCATAAATATGTGACCAAAGGTTTTGGCAAGAATGCAATAAGTCAACTATACAAAGAATTATATTTTGACTACCTATTTTGAAGTCTTCAGATAACTTTTTTTTTTTTTACTTGTGGGGGAAAAAATCTGAAGTCAACAGTCACTTGTTATATTAGAAGCAATATTTAGAATCTAACAAATGCAGCACCCTCTCTTTCAGAAAATCAGAGCAGAACTCCTAACAATTTCAATCCATTACCCAATGGAATTTTGTTAAACTAGAGGAACATTCTCTGTTTACAAAAAGCTACAGCTCTACCAGGTTTAATTAGCACTGCTTTTTAAAAAGAAAAATTGTCATATAATGCCACTATTTTAAAAAAACAAAATTCCTACATTTACCTCTTTTTTTATTAAAGCTGACAGCTCTGGACACCGAAGAATGGAGAATGAAGCTCACTGGAAGAAGTACTTAGCAGTTGCTATTGCCATTCCCTCAAGAATGCTCAACACTAGGGACAGAGGAGTCTTGCATCAAGCAGTAATTTTCTATGTTTACCTCAGCTACTGGGAATCAAACACGGCAAACACTAGGGCAGAGATGGGAAGCCTTTCAGATGTTGTAGATCTACAATTCCCATTACCAGGTCATTGACCATGCTGGCTGGAACTGATGGGAGCTGAAATCTAACAACTGGAGGACCATCCACTCTTTTATTGCTGTGTTAGGATGAAAGCAGTCATGGACCACTCCCCATAGCCTAATGTATCTAGTACTCTTTTCTCCACATGTGACTCTTCTCAGCTCCCAGCAAAATCTAGCAGGGTGAAGTTAGAGGTGATTTGACGCAGTATAGGGAAGATAATTGTTTCCTACACCCCACCCAGCCTACAAAATTTTAGGAAAGAGTAGGTAGGGTTCCAAAATAGTTTTTTACCCTACCTGCAAAATGTCTCTGTTTATTCCCACAGCCATACTGAGTTGCTGACCAGGTTGCTGAGACTGATTATTTTCCACTGGCTCTGACAACTCAAGCAGTTGCTGAATGACGTCAGTTACAGACTGCTGACCTTGATGTCCTGCCACTGAAGTTACTGGATTTTCTGTCTGTTGACAAAAGAGATGTCGTCTTAAATGTACAAATGTCATTTGTAAAGGAATTAAACAATACAAAACATTTGGAATGTAACTGTTTGTTGTTGTTTCTTACAGGACTGGCCTACTTATGTATTGTACAGTCATCCCTATATTAAGAGCAAGTATTTCAAAAGTGTCATTCATGAATAGCATTCAGAAACCAATGAAAAACCAGTATGGATCATACAACAACCGAGTAAAATACTCCAACAAACTGTTATCAGTCAGAAATAGTTTAATAATAAATGAAAGTTTGTAAAATGCCCATAAGAGGGATGAAGCTTTGCATGATACTGATCTGGCTGTAACTTGTGTTAATGAAAGACATGAAATTAAGACTGTACAGATAACCTTGTTGTCTTAAAATCAAGCTATGGAGGCTCAACCATTTACTTTCTGGACATAAGCTGGGTCATTATGAAAAAGATTTCAAAAGTTCTAGTTCAACTACCACTATGAATATACTGATCAACTTCAAGCAGCTTGGGCTATCTAGAAAAATGCACATATGGTTCCCCCACTCCCAAAGGATGTACATTAATGAATAATGAGCCTTAATTTATTACCCTATGTAAACGTCAAGTCTGAAAGACCAGTTCATTTCTAACTACACAATATCTGGAATAATGAAAAAGTATGAAACAGAACTTGCAAGCCAAGAATTTCCAAGGTACTTCAACAATAACATCCTGCATTCATTTCTGTTGTGCATTCATATTAGCATGCTCTTCCCCTTTGGGAACCAATTTATCTGCCAACTGGTTAAATATTTGCAGAAATATATATAAAGTAACTATTAAAGAGGCAATAAGATATCAATTTACAGGTCTAATTTAAATTATAAAATTATCCTTCTGTAAGGGGACACACACACAAAAAAGGTCCAAGACTTTCAAAGAGGACAGATGCATCTATTTTGAACATCTGTTTTTTAAATATTTATCAATAAGAAGGGTGGATAAAAATCAATGATTTATTTTTTTTTAAATCAGATTTTTAAAATAAAATGTGTTGGGAGGAAAAATCTTTCTAAAGATAGTTTTCTATTTAAGTTACATTATAGTCCAGAGGCTATTCATCCAGAAATAAGGATTTGTTTTAAGTTTTTCATGTGTGCTAAAACTCAGTCTAAGTTTTTTTAAAAACCAAAACCAAAAAACGTTTAACCACATCAGTTAACAAACATGGATATATAAGCTATAATGTTATTGCTTTATTTAAATAGTTTAAATTGTAATTAAGGAAATGATTATTTTTCTCCTTCCAATAAAATACAGCAGAAAAGTTGTCCAAATATAAAGTTAACTTATTAAACCTCACAATAATTTCATAATTATCTATGTATTTCTAACAGTATAACCAAATCAGTTATTTTTTATATAACTGTAAAAACTACTCTAAAAATTTATTATTCCAAAAACGAAACCTTTCTCTGGTTGTAAATATTAAGATTATATCAACAAGAATGAGTCTTTCTATAAAAAAAGGGATTTAAATCAAGTCTTACTGACTAGTGATTTAAACTGTGATTTAAATCAATTTGATTTAAACTGTGATTTAAATCAATTTGATTTAAATCAAGTCCACCCTGTCAATAAGTATTAAAAAGCTAGCAATAGCAATGCTTTTCTACTTTCACACCAAGCACACTGGCCCCATTCCAGAGATGCTCTTATATAATCTTAGCTACTTTACATGAGCATCAACCTCTTATTCCACCACAATGCACACACCCAACATTCCTGAGGTCTGTGAGCCTTTTCCAGGATATGAGCCTTTGGTGGCAGGCCCTGTTCTGTGATGCTCCTTGCCAGTAGAGGTTCAGCAGAAGTTATCTGTCTTCGTTTAGATGTCTTTCAAAAGTTATACAGTTTAGACAGAACTTTGCAACATTTCTTTCTTTCTTTTTTTACTGACAAGTACTTATTGATGTTATTATGGCCTTGTTTACATGTTGTACGCCACCTTGCTATATTTTAATGAAAGTGTGGTATATACATTTTAAAGTAAATAAATAAAAAACTGCATATAATACTGGCTCTGACAGCATTAGCCACCTATTTAGGTTTGGATTCAGCCCCCTTCCATAAGGGAATCACCCTCATTGTGTGACTACATGCACCATGCAAGTGCACTCTCTGCGAACCCTGGCAATAGGATCATGACATTCTTTTCCCACTGAATTATCATCCCCCATTCTTGCAAGCTGAACAAAAATTACCCTTACAAATTATTAAAATAGGGTCCTAAGGCGGAAATGCACAGCATAAAGTTCTTTAAAGTCTCTTAAGTAGTTTGCAACATCTTTGAACTGTTTTACGGAGATGTAATAAACTCTGTAGCACAATCTGAAGATGTGGAAAATTTTGCAAGATATGTTTTATCATAACAATGCAACACAATTAATTAAGAATTAGAATACTCACATTCTTCCATTTATTATCAACAGGCTGTAGCAAATTAACTGTTGCTAAAGTCAGAGGCTGAGACACAGAATCCTATGAAAAAAGAATAGAAGCATTAACTGTACAAAAATAAAATATGCAAATCTAAAATGTTGTAATGCCACTGCCAATTAAGATCAAGGAAAAAAGCATAATGCTTAAAAAAAAAAAAGTATTCAATTATACAGAAAAACATATTCTTAGATCACATTTTTTAATTTACACAGCTACTTCAGCTGTATTATTTTTCTAGCAATTAAGATACAAAATCCTGATTTTCCTCTTTAGCATATAACTGATTACTGGATATAAGTGGCACTTAAATGAAGAAGGGCAACTGCTGGTAACTAATCTATTAAAACTCAAGCAAGATAATGGCTAATCAAATTAAAGTATACACTTAGCTGTTTCCTTTTATTTTAACCACAAGGACATTACTGCATAAAATTGGTTTTGTTAAATTTTTGAATTCACAATGTTTTTTTCTTTAAATTTGTTTCCTTAAGGGGACAGTTTATGGCAATATCCACAATGACCAGCTTAAGATGCAACAGATCTCAGACTCAACCAGGCCCTAAAAGGGGTGTGGCAGGGGCAGGACCAGAGAGAAGGGTTAGGCTGCATCCTAAGCCCATTCAGCTCAGTCACATGACCTGGAAAACCAGCATGGAACACTAGCTTAAAGGACTGATTTCCCTCTGCCAGGCTTCAGTACAACCAAAGCAGTAGCCCCGCTGCTGAACGGGGTTTGGATCTGGTGTAACTTTGCACTGGCTTTGTTTGGGGCCAGCTTTTAGTGCACAGGATTTCTCCTGAAGTGCATTTTAGCTAGAAAGGAAGAAATATTCTGCATCTGACATGAATATTAAAGAGAAAGGCAATGTGTGACTTTAATACAATAGTCTGAGCAATGTATTGAATCACAGCTATGATTTAACACGAACAAGCAGAATAATGCATGGTACTCAAAAGCCCCTACTGTACTCCTCCACTGTTCCTTCATTTAGCACACCGGAAGGCAGGGGAAACAAACCACAGCCTAGCTTTGTGTTATATAAGAAATAATGATCATGATTTGCTCCTCACCAAACCACAAGCAGAAACCAGTTTGTTTGGGGCTTACCACTTAGTTTGTTTGCAAGAAACAAGCCACAAGTGATATGTTTGTACATCATGAAGCCAACCTCCAGTCTGTTCTTTCCTTGGCACACAAAAGGAGTAGCAGAGGACCACAGAAGTGACAACTGAGCAGCATGCTCCAGTATGCTACTTGTTCATGTTTAAACCATAGTTTAATTTTAAATATTGTTTAGGGTGAGGTCCAAACAAAACCAACATTTTCCAATAATGAAAAACAGCAATAACTGAAAGTCAAAATAGTCCTTTTAAAAAAATAAAAATATTGAAGTTGTTTTAAAAGAGTAACTGTGTTAAATCTGTTGTATCAAAATGACAACGACTCCTGCAGCTCCCTAAAGGCTAACACTGTGAGCTTCCACAGTCAAGAGCCTACTTCATCAGATGCACAAAGCTTAAGGTACTGGATCTTCTATACACAGATGAATCTAGAGGAAGGGGAAGCAAGCTTTACAAGGCAAGATTAAATGATCAAAAGTGCACATCCCCAATACATGGACACCAGGCAATGAATTAATGAATTACTTGTCAAGAATCTATGACTCGCCTGTTTAAAGAAAGAAAAATTAAGGCAATGGCACAGTTCACTTGGCAATTCTGTAGGCACGCCTCAGTGAAATGAATTGGCATTGCCCAAGAGGACTGTGGTGTTGCGAAACCATTAATTTCAGAGGGACCTAAAGGAAAGAATTCTTGCTGGATTTTGCCTCACCTAGGAAGTGTGATGACGTATCTCACACATACACAAACAGAATATTTATCTCAAAGAGCAAAGACATTGGGAGCCTGCTTCCCTTTACCAAAAGAGATGAGAATGTAAAAGTTACCGTTGTCAAGGGAGATGTTTCTGTAGTAGAACTCGTTGTATTCTGTGTGCTACTCATATGCATCTTGCTGATATGGGTATTTAAGCTGCCTAAACTTTTGAAGATACAACTACATTCGGTACAGTTATATGTAGGGCCATTCTTCACCTTTAGGAACAAAAGAGGAGAGGAATGCTCAGTCTTAAAACTTTGCACTTACAACCACAACAAACTATAGCCAGTATCTTCTTAGCCCTGTTTTATTCCCCAGCTGACAGAGCAGTAAAATTTGCATTACAGATGAACTCAAGGCATTAAAGATCTGAAAAAGCCCAGCCACATTATTAAGCATTGTGCATGTCATAATTATCTCCACTCACCAAATGAACACTATCTTCCACCCCAAAAATGGAAAACTCATTGAACCACGAATAACAATGTCAATGGCTTGCTTGTTTGGTAGCTGAAACTAAGTAAATTAATTAGTACCTCATATAAATGCTGTGATTAAAATGGGGGGGGTGTCATAAAATATAAGCAGGAAAGTGTCAGATTAGAGATGGAGCCACCTGGTAGGTAGGAGCAGGGAAGTGTAGCACAAAGAGGATGGCAGCTCAAATCAAAATAGGACAAAAAAGATGATTCAACATTCTATAACACCTATTAAGTTTGAATAGTGATGAGACTTGTGTCAGAGTGGCTCAGAAAGTAAGCTCAATTACTTAACTCCCACAACTGGAAACAGCTCAGCTTCTTTTCAAAGCCAATACAACTTTTAAAGTCAGAACCACATTTTGAAGGACCACGGGAAACCTACTTCATGGGAGAGGAAAAAGATCGGATCTTCTAGAGTGCTCCAACCCTGCTACCCTGGACAGTAAAGTATTGTTTAAATTTCAAAGTGGAGAAGGGTTCAGGTGTGACTATTTAAGTAAGGAATTCTTTCTAACTTGGCCTTTAGTCAAAGGAGAATGATTTGGGAACCTTGCAATGCTCAGCTCTTCTTTGAGATAAAAACTTCAAACTTCTGAAGCTTATATTCAGGCCAAGAATGGAAAACATTGCTAGCATCTCTACTTTTGCCCTAAAATAGCTCTTCATCAGGGGAGTATTAGTTTAGTGAACAACTGCTTTTGTGTGCTCCAGAAGGAACTATATAAATTTTTCTGCTACAGCTGATATCAAGCACTATTACCAGTGACATTTCACAGATGGTTTTTTTGGAACTCATACTACCTCTGCCCTTTGTACAGCTTTCATGCTTAAATCTCCATCCCCTTTCAATGGAACACCTCCTCATCTTATCCTTTCTGAACTTTGCCATTATCACTGCTACTTCACTATTATCATCCACCAATATTTCTAACGACGATACCCCCTAGTAGGCTGCTCAGCAATCAGGCAGAGCAAGTCCTTCTCCTCTCCTGTCTGGAAGAGGTTGATGAAAATAGGGTGACTGTGAAGACAATATGGAATCTAACAGACAAGGGGGCAAGTAATGATAGCTGTTAGTGGCTGCACTGAAGGGGCAAAAGGGGGAAGGGGCAGGTGTAAAAACAATGTAAGGGGGAAAAATTTCCTCCCTTCCCCAGAAAGCAAGAACTTTTCATGAAAGAAGTCAAAAACTTGACTGAAAATTATCTACTACAATTCCATGGAAATCTATAGATGCATCGAAAACAAAAGAAACCAAATGTTTTTCTTCCATCTAGTATTAGACCATAAAATGAATGTTTCAGAAATTGCAGGCATTGAATATAGATGAAGATGTTAATTCAGGACCTGTTGCCATTTAAAGTGTGTAGCCAATAACAGAAATGAGCTGCGCTATTTACCTCTGAATGAACTCTCTGAATATGTGATTGAAGATTGCCTTTCTGAGAAAAGGCTGCAGGACAAAAGGCACAGGCATGGGGTTTTTCACCGGTGTGTTTAATCATATGGGTTTGCAATGCCCCCTTCTGATTAAATGCTTTTCCACATTCACTACATTTAAATGGCCTTTCACCTAACAAAAATAAAATTATATTTATACACACACATAAAACAGAAATATGAGTTTTCATTGGTAACAATTTCTAAATTCATTTGGCGTAAAACAGTACAGTAAAACAGAGCAATGATTACAATACTCTACTGGAAAACCGTATTTTTTCCTCTAGCAAACATTCGTAGACAAAATAGCCCCCTAAACATTGTAATTTTTTGTTTGATCATCCTTCTCAACTATACATAAATAAGTATCATATTGCTATGTATACTTATTAGCCCATCAATAAAAAGTACTTATTTAGAGAATGGCCCCACCAACTTTTTCTGCATGAACAGTCCTGGAGATTTCCAAGACACACTTATATCAGCTTTCAGAATCTGCATATGCACACACAGTGCTACTGTAAAGCTGGGCTTGAAGTAGCAATGGGAAGTCCTCCATACACTCCATCCAGTACAGCACGAAGCTCCATTACTCAATGCACACAGATTGGCTGTAGCTGGACTGTGTATGGAGCAGGGCTGTAACAAGCTCACGAGGATGGGAAGGGTCAATCACATAACTCACAATCCTGTGGAGAACCGAGTAAATGAGGGGCTCATGCTTCTATTAAACCATAACTAAGAAATACTTGATTACATTTCCATAATTTTACCAAGTACTTAAATGACTAAAAATGGAACTCTTCAAGGCAAATAAACAAACTGAGCATATATCAAGGCTCCATTTGGTCTCAGAGACATTTCTCTCGGCAAATAAAGGAAGAAAGCAGGGCAGCTGGAGTGACCATGTTGCTACTTCATAAGTTTGGGGAATTGAGCGTTCTGCCCGTTTGGTGGGAGGTGGGTTGCCTGCTTGTTTTTTTGGTTAGCAGGGATGGTTTGGGGAGGTGAATGTGGTTTTTGCCTTTTGAGGAGATGTTTTGCTTGTTTCTTAAAGGACGATAGTAGTTTGTAGCTTTTTGAGAGGCATTTGGGGGGTTTTTTTGTTAGTGTGGACTTTGGCGTGGATCAGCAAGTTTTGCTTGTCTGTGACTTTTAGGGTAGACAATAGGGGTCTTGCCTATTTGTCACTTGGGTGGGCTGGGGCTTTTTAATGCTGGGAGGGCTTTGCCTGTCTTTTGTGACTTTTGAGGGCAGATGTATTTCTCTCAGGTTCTGTACTTTCTTGTGCTTTGTGGAGGCAAATATGCAGTATGAGATTTGGGAACCAAACCAAATGTCTGCTAATTGATGGAGAAGACTATTGCCAACTATTTGCATAGGGACTGCTTTGAAAAGCCATAACCAACAAAATACCTGTGGTCATTTTCAAGCCAATCTAAAGTGAGCTGTAGGAGCTTGCATCCCTCTTACATTGATTTAAACTCCTCAATATATACTTAAGTCCTGAAAATCGAATACAGTGGTACCTCGGGTTACATACGCTTCAGGTTACAGACTCTGCTAACCCAGAAATATTACCTTGGGTTAAGAACTTTGCTTCAGAATGAGAACAGAAATCGTGCTCCGGTGGCACGGCGGCAGCAGGAGGCCCCATTAGCTAAAGTGGTGCTTCAGGTTAAGAACAGTTTCAGGTTAAGAATGGACCTCCGGAACGAATTAAGTACTTAACCCGAGGTACCACTGTACAGTGGTGCCTCGCAAGACGAAATTAATTCGTTCTGCGAGTTTTTTCGTCTTGCGAATTTTTCGTCTTGCGAAGCACGGTTTCCCATAGGAATGCATTGAAAAGGAAACAAACTTGCAAGACGTTTTCGTTTTTCGTCTTGCGAAGCAAGTCCATAGGGAAATTCGTCTTGCGAAGCAACTCAAAAAACGAAAAACTCTTTCGTCTTGCGAGTTTTTCGTCTTGCGAGGTACCACTGTATATTTCATGGGGTGGTAGTAGAGGGACTGAAATAGTTAATTCTTAAATTGGGGCCAAGGCTGACCTCTTGTGGCCATTTTCTACATTTCACATATAACAAGGGGGTCCTTGTAAAACTATTATTCTGTATTTCTGAGAATTAAATTTACTTTCATTAAAATTATTTAATACACATTAATGGACAAAATGTTTGATAGTTAGGGTCATACCAAAGATCAGAATACTAACTAAAGCTTATCCAAACTGAATTTCAATATATACATGCCATACGGTCTAAAATGATTGCATTAAGCTTGCCTGCCAATGTGCATCAGAAGCCAGCTTGAGAGAATAAACGCCAAGGGAAAGAGGATGAAAATTTAAGTTAAAAGGTCAACAAAACTTGAAGAGGCAGGAGCAAGCTGTTTACCCAGAAACAGCTGTTCATTATTCCATTCAATGACATGAGTGGGAAACTGCAAGGTTATTTCAGTAAAACCTGACACAAGCAAATTGATGTATTTGAGTCAGTTCACATGGCCCAGGTTGTACAGGCTGTACACATAGCACAGGACAACACTGAACCTTGAACATCTAATATTTTGTGTATTGCTTCCTTTCCAAATAAAACTTCAACGAAAACTGGCACCTACTACAAGCAGACCCCATTCATATAATTTGTATATCCATATAGCCATTTATGCTCCCAAGTCTCATTTCACACTGAGCAAGCCTATACACTAAAAGCTGTCATAAAACAAGCCAGTGTAAGTTAAACCAGTGTAATGATCCACCGGACAATTGAGCCACCTTATGCCTGGTAGCAAGAAAGCAAGCCTTCAAAATACTGTTTGAGTTAACACCACCCTTTTTAACTTACACCAGGTTGCCAAGTCATGTGACTGAGCTGAACCTGCTTAACATCCAGCACAATTCAGGTCCCATCACATCCCTTTTTTAGGGCTTACACCAGCTTAAGATCTGCCCGGCTAGGGCTCAGTCCACTGGATCCCAGCTGAGCCGAAGATGAGAGAGTTAAGCTGGCATAGCTTGTTCTGAACCTCCCAACTCAGCTGCATATCTTCTTTTGTGAATTAGCATCAACAGTTGTAAGGAATTCAATTCTCCTGTTTAACTAAAAAGTTTATATAGGGAAGCAAAAGCAAGCAGTGTGTGTTCATTGGGTTATCTGAAGTCTATACACATTTTCAAATACACATCTCTGTAGATTTATTCACCTTACCTGTGTGTATTCGAACATGCCGTGTTAACTGACTTGGTTTCTGGAAAGTCTTTCCACAGTGTGGACATGAATATGTAAACCCACTTCTGTCAATATTTCTGTTGTATGACCTGCTGTTTGATACCCTGTAGACATATATTAAGTAGTTAAATATTATGGTGAATTCAATTGCAATGTTATCACCTCATTTGAAAGGTAAACAGATTACCATCATTATCCCAACTAATTCTGGTTCTACAGAGAATTGGAATTAGAAATGAAGGCCAGGTATACAGTATTGTAGATGCTTTACCAGTAACAATACAGTGGCACCTCTAGATACGAACGGGATCCGTTCCGGAGCCCCGTTCGCATCTATAAGCAAACGTAACTAGTGATGGCGCGTCTCCGCGCGCACACGTGCATCGCTTTTCACTGCTTCTGCGCATGACGTCATTTTGAGCGTATGCGTAAGCAGCGAAACCAGGAAGTAACACGCTCCGTTACTTCCGGGTTGCCGCGGAGTGCAACTCAAACGCGCTCAACCCGAAGCGCATTCAACCCGAGGTATGACTGTACAGGGCAAACCATAATTATGGCTTCATTACAAACTTTCCAAGCTGAATCCGTATCAAACACAGACAACAAAGGAAACCCAGTAGGCACTTGATGATTACTGTCAAATACACACTGCAGCTATCTCCTGATTAATGAAGCCGTGAACTTTAAAATAAACAACTTGGGAGCAGTTTACCTATGAGACTGCCTTACCCCACATGTGCCCTATCAACAACCTCCAACTGGCAGCATTGGCACTATTACAGAAGCCACATCATACCTGTTCCGCATTTGTATGGACTTGATCATTTCGTGTGGCAGTGCCTAAACTTTGGAACTTCTTGCCTATTGTGATCATGCAGGCACCTTCACTGTACTTTTTTCAGTGACAGCTAAACACATTCTTGTTTAGGCAAGTCCACCCACATGCTTAGAAAGCTGAGGTTATTTTAATCTGTTTTAGTATTTTAACTTTTCTATGTTTTAAAAGTTTGGTCTGGTTTTTTTCTTGGTATTACTATTTTATCTTTCGTAAACTGCTTTGAGGTTTTTTACAATCAAGAGGTGTATAAATTTTATGAAATAAATAAATACCATGAATACAAGTGCTTATAAAAACTTAAGATGGGTGCTTGCCATCTCACACATGGAATATGTCAGATAGGTCATGTGCACAGTATAAAAACGCAAATATATATGTATACTTCTTGTTTCAAAAGTACACGTACACACACTCCTTCATAATCCTACACCTTAGGCACAACAGAAATGTATGTATAGAATTTCCACAGTGGGATTGAGTGGGCAGCACTAAAGCAGCTTAACATCTAAAATTAAGTCAGCGTATTAGTTATAAACAGCTCCCTGTTACTGATTGATGTTCTGCTTTCCTACATAATTTTTACTTTTGCTCATTTATCTTCCTCCACAGTATTCTTGCCAATCAAAATGCCTGAATTATCTGCGTGAAATAAAATATTCCGGACATGTTTAGCAGAGTTTAAGCAACAATACGAAAAGTCACTTGAATTAACGAAGGAAGGATGCATAACAAAACCCTGTCAGCTTTACTAACTGTTGTGCTTCACATGGAACTTCACCTAGGCATAAGGATGATGTTTCATGGTAATAGCTACCCGAGTTAAGATATCAGCATGAAATCTGGTTGGCCTACTTTTGCTTATGGGTGTTCATCCTAGAGTTTCTGAGGAAGGCAAGCGTGATGGGTCAGCCAGAGAAGTTACTGAGCTTTTAACCTACTTGTTGTTTAGTCGTTAAGCTATTCTCACCTTATTTTGTAATGAGTTTTCATGTGCTCCTTTAGTTGGGAAGATGTTTCAACCTCTTTCTTACAGGTTTTACAGATATGGGTTTTGCTTCCAGACAATTCTTGACGGTGTTCTTCCATGTGTAAGGCCAGCTGGCTCTGCAAAGTAAACTCATCTCCACACTCTGAACATATAAGATTCTGCAAAGATAGTAAACTGGTTTGATGCTTTTCTAAAACAGCATAAAAATACATTACTTTATAATAACATTTCATCACTTTAAGCATTTTCAATCCTTTGCTGATAGAAAAATTGACTGTAACAATCTGGGATCAGGGTCACACATACGTCAAAAAATCCTTGGTGGAATTTTTTAAGCATGACACCATTTGCAAGTCAAAAAAAATTCCCTCCTCCCCTCCACATCTTTGTATTGTGTATGTGCTTCAAAAATGAAGATAATAGTCACCTCTTCCTTTTCATGAAGCATAATATGAGCTTTAAGACTAGCCACTCTAGAGAATTTTTTGTTGCACACAGGACAAGTAGGATCTTCTCCATTGTGGGTACATTTATGCAGTGTAAGGTTGAACTCAACATTAAACGACATCGGACACTGGTCACATCGATGAGGCTGTTTGTGGAAAACAAAATCAAGGCAATATTTAAGCTTCATAATTCCATTGACAAGAAAATCTAAGAGACAGAGGTCACATCATTATGATTGTAAATCACCACGAAAACATCACTGGTTTAGTATATAAACTCCTTAAGCAAGTAACAAAGGCCAAATGAAATGGTGCCAACTGCCAAAACAGTGAAACTTCAAATCTCTGCAATGGCCTTCCTTTCCTTTTCCACACCTTATTACAGCATTTATTTGCTGTCTTTAGAAAACCATATTTATGCCAACACACCTTAAAACTTTCCCCACATAATGCACTTTTGGAGTGATAACTGAACTTTACACATTTCAGCTTTAAGAGAGGAAAACAAACCTAAAACATTTCACTGGAAAATGACTGTTCCTTTACTTCTTCCCTTATTATGATCCTAGATTTTTAATTTGTGCAACAGAATTTTAAATATATTAAGATCTTTTGTATTGCCTAAAACAGTGGCATTACAAAACAGGGCGGAATCTTGATAAAGCTTGATTTTTTATATTGTTGTTTCCTAGATTATTAATAGACATATATTCAGTGGCTCGAGCAAGCGGTTATGCCCCAAATACAGCCATTTCTTCCTAAGCTGGAAGCAAGAATAGAGTCTTTCAAAATGTGATATATCTTATATCTTCCTGGATATGCATATGACAAGAGGTAGAAAAGCTCCATGTTATTAAGCTTCCTCAAAATTAGGTTTACAAAGAACCCTGGAATTTGATTCATGAGGAAATTAAATGGAGATTTGTGCACCTATTCCACATCAGTCATTTTGTCACAAGAGCTACTCAGATTTATTGAGATACTCACCTTGTCATTTTGCTCATGATCCCTCATATGGCGCTGGAATTGTGTGTCTTTCGAAAAAGACAGAAAGCAGATCTCACACTTACGGATGTTTGGTACTTGCTGGGTATAATTATTGTTCTCTGTATTCAGTGTTAGAACACCATCTAAAAAATAAACAAACTTTTTTTTTAATGAAACCATGCTACTTGTTCTGATTGCTTATTTTACAGCTGCTCAAAAATGTCCATTGCCATTTGCAAAGTTTTGTATGTTTTTTTTCTAGTTTTGTTATTGTAAAAAATATGCATAATTTGAAAATAAATTATTTCATTGCCTAAAGCTCTCAAAAGCATATATTAAAAATACAAGCTAACCTTTACTCTTTTCCCTTTAATTTGTAACAAACTTTTCAGGTTACATAGGTTGCAATCCTCTTATTTATTCTTGTAAAATCACAGTGATTTCAGAAGTTATATAAAATATAATAAACGACTGCTGACTCAGTGAACAATCTAAATAGAAAGGTGTACTTGCAACTCGGCACTTGTATCCCGTTCTCAAGACCCCAAATACGCAACAGAATGCTAATTACAATACTATTAAAAATAAGCTAAATTTGTAGAACTATCTGCATGTTTATTATGTTTTATTGTGTTGAGGGATTCTTAACAGCCTGATCCTTTGCGGAATTAGGCATACAAAAACCCAGTGAAATCAATAGGCTAAGTTGTGGTATCAAGATTGTACTCACAGATATTAACTTCGTTCTGATTTTTAAAAACTGCACATTGTTCACTTTGTTTACTTCAGCACCTGTACATATTACACTTTGTCCATCTTGTGTTTTGTAACCAATACTAGTTCTTAAAATAGTGTAAAGTTCAAAAAGGAAACTGTCTCCCAAAACAGTAAGTAAAATGTGAATATAGGCTTCTTTCATAGTTTTTGAAACAAGATACTGACTTGTTTTGTGGTTGGAGCCTTCCCGCCAAAAGAAGTGTAACTAACTTTGCAGTCTCCCCTTGAAGTACAGAAGACCAGAGCTGCTAGGTACTAATATAAATTCATTCTATTTCTCTAGCCCACCTTTTTTTCAAAGGAGCTCAATCTACATGGTTCCCCCACCCTCATTTTATCCTAAGAACAACCCTATGAGGTAGGTTAGGCTGAGAGACAGTAACTGGCCCGAGGTCACCCAGTGAGCTTCATGGCTAGTGGGGACTTGAACCCCAGTCTCCTATGTCCTAGTCCAGTACTCTAACCAATACATCACACTGGCACTCAATGTGATTTCACCACTTCATCTCTGTGACTACTCTAACATGAGGTGTTTTTAAGGAAGAAATGTCTCCCATCACGGCTCACAGCAACAAGTTCACTCAGACTATAAGCAGGGATACAGGAATACATGCTTCAGAAATACAGGAAACTTAATGAGATACCCCACAAGTGTAATGTACAGCAGCCTATAAAAGAGCAGATTGAAGGCCTCTTCATCACCGCTGCCAAGGACCAGCTCCATCAGGCCTCAACTATCATCTACAACAGCCATAACGAGATGGTTAGGTATGCCTGGGTTTTTAACTTTTCCTCTCTGAAATTTGACCAACTTATTTGAATCCATTTCATAAGCCCATTGGTTTGTTTATTCTTGGTCCCTTCACGACGTGATTCTTTTGGGGACCCACCTGCGGAAGGTGTCGAATACCGAACGTGGAAGGAAGTGATCAATTTAGAGCAGTAGACAGATGTGGGTATAGAACTACTAAACCATCACCAACTGCTATTTCACCAGTTGGATTTGGGCTCCTCCTACTCTCACAGCAGGCATTTAGAAGCAGGAAACAACACACAACCTGAGAAAATTTCCACCACCAACTTGCTGCTGTTTCACCAGCTGGGATTGTGCCCAGCAAGCTATGTAATGGGTCAGGTTTTTGGTTTTGTTTTTTAAAACAACAACTGTAGAAGAGATCTCTACCTTTCAAGTAGTTTTTTTTTTTTTTAATGGTTTGAGAACTGGGGCAAGATGAGCAGAACAAAAGCCAATTAAGCTTGAGATGCAGGGGTGGGGGAGGAAAATAGATGCAAGAAAATATTATATTTAGTTTCCCTGTCTTTTATATCCAAAATCTACCTAAATGTAATACTTCAATGTAATCTTAATCATGCCTACTAAGAAAAAAGTTCCACCAAGTTCAGGACAAAGGATGGATAGGCCAAGGCTGGTGAACCTGTGGCCCTCCAGATGTTCTGCAGTACAACTCCCATCTCTGACCAGTAGCCATGCTGCCACAACGGATGGGAGTTGTGGTCCAACAACATCAGGAGGGCCACAGGTTCACCAGTTTGGTTCATCATCTCTGGTACTACCATAGGATGTTAAGTAAAACAAAACATTTCTGTGGCCTGGTCACAAAGCACAACATCAACAGTACCCCCTCCTCTGCTCAGGAAGTACTGTCCAAAAATCCCCAAGCCATCAACACCTGGAATAGAAGAGCAATGGTACCCTATGATGCCCTAACCTTGCTTTTTTGGATAAAAAGGCTCAGGACTGGAGTACAAAGAGTGCCAGGGCCTCAAAAGTTCCACGGATTTGAAAGCAGAGGTGGGCAGCGTCAGCAAGGATTTGACCCCCAATTGTCTAGGAACTGCGTGGACGAAATGGGTTTCCCTTTCTACCTAGGCTGCTGAAATGAAGTCAGCTTGGGGAATCCAGGAACGGAGTGGTTTGTGTGAGAGTTAAGACTTCATCCGAGTTCTGGTACTCCGAACTAATCCCTGGCTCAGAATTCTCCCATTTTCAGAGCCTGTCCTTTTTGCACCTTGCTGGGTCTCGGGGCTCTGGGAAGAAGAACACAAAGCAGACCCCGCGCCGCCACTACTACACGCAGCCTTCCTGCCTTCCGACATGGTCGCCGAGCACCGGAGGGCGAAGGCAGGGTGTTGCTCAAGCAAGGCTCCAGAGAGAGGAACCGCCGCCTCTGCTGCAGCGGAGCGCCCGCAAAGGTGGCGCCGCCCGCATTCCTCTCGAGGCTGCGGGAATGCCCGTCCCTTCACATGGACGCCTCGAGAGCGCATCGCTCGCCCCGGGATGGAAAACCACCCCGCTATGGGAACCCCCCATTTCCCCCGCGCCACCGATCGCCTTAGAAAGGGCGCCTCAAACGGGGAGAAGAGGAGACGCCGCCGCCCAACCCCGCCGCCCTCGCCCTCCTCCTCCTCGCTCCCCGTCCCGCTTCCCTTCCCTCGCCCGTTCTGACAGAATCTCGCCTTCCCTCCCTCTATATATAGATTTATAAGCGCGCGCGGCGGTAGCAACATGCGCTCCTCCGCCTCCGGCTGCGCGGAGTTAGCTCGGTATCATTCCGCACAGGGCCGGCCGCACACTAAGTCCCTCGCACAATAGGCCCGGCCTTCCTCCTTCGCCTTCCTCCATATCCGGGGACTATATGCGAGGCCCGGCGGATTGTTTCGCGGTGCCTTTCTCACCCTGCGCGAGCGATGTGAGGGATTCAGCCCGGCGCCCGGAGACGTTTTGTTTTGCTCTTGCTTTTCTCTTTTGCTGAGCCCGGCCGCGCCTCCTCCTCTTTTATTTTTTTATTTTTTACCTGACTCGGTGGCTGCTTTGGTGTTTTCTCTACCGCCGGGTTTTGGAGGCCGCCCCCGCGGCATGATTGCCCCCTCCCCCTTTCCCTCCCCCCTCCCCTGTGCCTTTGGTCCGACGCGCGCGCGTGCGCGCGCGCGCACACCCCTCACGCAACGATGGCGGAGGGAGAGGCGGTTGGGCGGTTCGAACTCTTGAGGGGAGAGAGGGAGGGGGGGTGAAAAGCCAGAACGCGCCTCTGAAGCGGCCGCGCGCGCCCACATACAGGGATGCGCGCGGCCAGCGGGGGGCAGGAAAACACGGATGCGAAAGAGGGCTTGTGCTAGCGCGCACGCGCGGCTCGGAAGGCGGCCGCGGGGAAATAAGCGCATGCGTCGTGCCCGTAATAAATAGCATGCGGTCGGCAACAGAAGAAGGGCGGCAGCTTAAGTTACTGTAACGTGTGTTGGCGGTGAGGGGTACGGAGACCTTGCGCCCACAGTGCAGAGAGCCAGGCAGCAGTTCTAATCCCAGTGACCTGGAAGGAACTGTTCGCATCCGTCAATCATATTCCGATGGAAAACTTCCCCTTTTTGAATGCTGAATAACTGAACAGACTTTGTGCTGCAGACTTTAAGCATACTCAGTAAGGAGATGTTGTTGGCATCCATCTATCTGGAGAGACAATGGAGGACACCTCCAAGTGATGAAGTCAAACTGCTGCGTCAGCAGCACCAAAGCGACCTCCTGGAAAGCAAGCCTGGGAGCACTGTATGGAAGTCCTGGGCTGCCCAGACAACAAGATCCCGTTTGCTGATTGGATGCAGGTGGCGCTGTGGTCTGAACCACTGAGTCTCTCGGGGTTGTTGATTCGAATCCCCACGACGGGGTGAGCTCCCATTGCTCTGTCCCAACTGCTGCCAACCTAGCAGTTTGAAAGCATGCCAATGCAAGTAAATACCGTATTTTTCGCTCTATAGGATGCACCTTTTCCCCTCAAAAAATGAAGGGGAAATGTGTGTGCGTCCTATGGAGCGAATGCAGGCTTTCGCTGAAGCCTGGAGAGCGAGAGGGGTTGGTGCGCACTGACCCCTCTCACTCTCCAGGCTTCAGGAAGCTATCCGCAAGCCTTCAGGAAGCTATCCGCAAGCACCCCAGGCTTGGGCAGCTATCCGCAAGCCTTGGGAGCCCGGCGGGAGTTCCCGCCGGGCTCCCCAGGCTTGCGGATAGCAGCCTGCAGCCCGAAGCTGTTCTAGCTTGGGGATGGCTGCGCAAAGCCTCCGCAGGGCAGCAGGGTGAAGGCACCCCGCTGCCTTGCGGAGGCTTGAAAGGCTGTCCCCGAAGCCAAAACAGCGAGACGGGGCGCTGCGCAGCCCTCCGTCTCGCTGTTCTAGCTTCGGGATGGCTGTGGCAAGCCTCCGCAGGGCAGCGGGGTGCCTTCACCTCGCTGCCCTGTGGAGGCTACAAAGGATGTCCCCGAAGCCTCAAGCCTTTGGAGTGCAGCTGCGCTCCAAAGGCTTCAAGGATCTTTGAGGCTGGCGGTGGGGGAAAGCAGCGTTTCCCCCCACCGCCAGCCCCACAAGCTCTGGGGGCAGCAGCAAGGCTGTGTTCAGCCTTTGTGCTGTTCCCCGACCTGCACTTGAACGCACCTTGTTTTAGAGGGGGAGAACAAGAATTTTTTTTTTTTCCTGTTCTCCCCCTCCTATGATCCGGTGCGTCCTGTAGAGCGAAAAATACGTTAAATATGTACCACTGCGGCAGGAAGGTAAACGGTGTTTCCGTGCGCTCTGGTTTTCATCACGGTGTTCCGTTGCACCAGAAGGGGTTTAGTCATGCTGGCCACATGACCTGGAAAGATGTTTGCGGCTCCCTCAGGCTGAAAGTGAAATGAGCTCTGCACTCCCATAGTCACCTTTGACTGGACATAACTGTCCAGGGGTCCTTTACCTTACCTCTGCTGATGTGGGCCAAAGGAAAGCAGAGCAACATGTTTGGCACCAGCTTTACCATAAAAAGGCATACAGGGTCCATCCAACCCTCTTAGTGACTCCACACTAAATTCATGGAGGGTGTGCTCCTTAACCTTATGTCCCACAAACCAGCAGAGGTTTAGAATCAAAGTTTTCCTTCTCCTAGAAGGGCTACCTTACCAGGCTGGCAAGCCCCATCTGCCCCTCACTTCACTCTACAACATGTACAGAAACTGGACCCACTATTGGTCTTGTCTGCTAATTCTGCCAGAGCCTGTCTTTGCATGCAGGGGAAGTCCCTAACTCGCTGAGGGTTTGAGACCCATCGGCTACCCTCACTTGGTTTAGCCTGCTAGCCGTTCCTGGGATGTGGCCACTGTTGCATGCTGACAGCTTCTAGGAGCCATAGGTGAGATCAGAGATGGGGATGGGGACTAAAGACGGGCAAACTACCCCAGAAGGACCATGATGTGTCCTCCACCAGAGGTACAACTCCTCCCCTGACACCCATACACTCCAATATAGGAGTAAGTCCCAGTGAATTTAGCAGGACTTGCTTTGAGCAGACATGGTTAGAGTTGCACTGTTGGTGGCTACTGATTATAGACCCATTTAACTATGCCTGCATTTTGAGCAACAGGCTTCAGTTCTGATTCATGTGCCTCCCACTGAATTCATATTTATTACAATATTCTTACCACTTGTATTTATTATGCTCATTCAGCCACAGTTTAAGTGGCATTGGAAAGGCAGTAGCCATGCAACAGGAGAGTGAACAGTGGTATCTCACTTCATGAGAAAATACAGCAAGTGTTTGGGTATGCCAGGAACACAGAAGTTTCTTAGCTTTGTGGACAAGAGAATGGTTAAAGACTGGAGAATGGTATTGGGATTAAATAAATATTAAATAAAGTGGTTTTAGTACCATCAACATGTCTGCTAAAGACAACTGCCAACACAGTTCTCTGGACTCGGCCCCTTAGGTAGGACAAGAACCACTGTAACACTGCGACCCTAAATAGCCACAAAGTTGGTCCAGGAGGAGACCATGGCCAGATAGTATCAAAAGCCACAAAGAGATCAAGAAAGGAGGAGCAAAGTTGCACTCCTGTTCTGGATAAAACTCATCCACAAGAGTGACCAAGTCCAGTTCATTCCCAAGACTAAGCTTGAACCCAGGCTCAGATGGGTCTAGATAATGATTACGGTATATTCCAAAAATGCCTGCTGTTGCCCCACCACAACCTTCTCCATTACCTTACCTAAAAAGAACAAGAATGCAAGGTCTAAGGAGGCAAACAAACGACACAAGCACAAACTTGAGAGAATTGGGAGAACATATGCAGCAACCCGTGTCTTATGTTAGTGCATTGAACTCGGGGGAACTTAGGGCACAGTGTTAGGGATGGCGCTAGAGAGAATACAAGGCTGTAATTCACTTAATGGGACTCTGCTGATGTCATCAGCCACAAGTACATAGACTGAGCAACGGATGAATAGAAAAAGACCTTGGAGCTCAGCAGGGCAAAATGATCTCAAAGGAAACTGCTGGAGTTATTTATAGATTTTTAAGAGCACAAATATACAGCATGAATGCACAGCAACTGCAACATTCAAAAGTATTAAACAAGTTTAAAAACCTTTAATTGGTGCCCCCCTGCATACTGCTAGACAATGAACATAACAGGCAGCCCAGTAAAAAAACCTACGGTACTTGGAAAGTGGAAAATAGAAGCAGCCTATTTTCATAGGCTAAACTAGGTTGAGGAGAAACTGCAGGAGTATGTTTGTGGGGGTTTTGCCTGTAAAGATTAGTACGGTAAATTTTAGGCAAGTTCAGAGTTTTCAACTGTCAGTTTTGTTTAATGGTCCTGTAATAATTGTTGTGTAGCTAAAAGTGATGTTATAATTGAAAGTAATAGTTTAAAAATTCTGGATATAGCCACCATTTAAATTTTCCATATTTATTTATTTATTGTATTTCTAGAACATCCCCCCAGGGCAGTGTACAACTTCATTAAAATGCAGAACATTAATTGAAATCTTTAAGAACTGCATGTCTTAAAACCTAACAATGCGCTCCAGAGCAACACTACATTGAGGGCATCGGAGAAATTATAACGAGCTCTGCCAGACTTTTATTTACATTTTATATTCTGCTTACAGGTTGTAGATGTTTAAGGCATATTTAAGTTGTGTTAAAAAAATAAAATCCTACAGCTACTCAACCAGTTTATCTCAACTGCAGATTTGATCTGCCAGCATGTCTATAGAAATATGCATACTTACAGAAAGAAAAGTTGTTATGTACATATTGACACCAAAATTTTCTACAACAGGGAAAAACCAGTAGAAAAATAGAACAGTTCTTTTTGGGGTTTGCTGCCTTGGAAGTGTTTTTTTTCTTTTCTTTTTGCTGTTAAATGCAGTGGAAGCTAATATTCAGGTCATTAGTTTAATATGGGATTAAGATTTCCCCCTCTCATCAATGGGATCTAGTGTTTAATGGTCAGAATGAATAACTCCACAATCATAGAAGGCAATTCTTGTTTTATTAAGATAAACAAATGCATGTGACATCAGCAGATCCAAAATTGTGCCCTTAATCTACAAGTAAACAAAGGAAGCATTCAGGGCTTTGACTTTTGTGCAGTATTGACAATTTTGGAGTAGGCTGGGAATATTATTGCTCCATAAAACTGAGCTGTTTTGATGGGATATTCTACACCGTACGTTCTGCCCGTTAATAAACAATGACAAAATCTTCTTGTGAAAGCTCTTCCAAAGAGTGTTTTTATATCCAGTTGAGATCTCGGATAAAAATGATTTTAAGAGAAGGTAACGAGTAGTAAAATAAATCAGCTTTGATGTCAGTTTGTCTTATTTCAATAATAGTCACCATGGAAACTAACTGACCTATTTCTTTTCATACCTCTGAATAAACAATAGGGCTTCCCATTTTCATACATACTGCTCTTTGTACTATGTGTTTACCTTCCTCCATGATAATAAAGAGCTTTTTCATTGTATTCTTCATATATTACCTCAAAGGTTTCTTTTCATGATTTCCTCTTCTGTGGATTTTTTATTTTCTTTGCAAAGACAGTGAAGGCCCTGAGTTACCAGTAAGAAAACTTTTATTTTTAT